AACACAAACAAAGATAATGAAAATCCAAATAAAATGCCAACACGAGCTGGGTATAGTGATTTGCACACAGAACGAGTGAGTGAGAGAAATTTGTCGAAGACTGACTTACGTAATATGAAGCCCCTAATCAGTGAAACGGTTTTTTTTTCTTGAAATAGCTAATATTGGGTGATTGCCACCAGAACTCATGCCGAATCGTAATAATGTGAATTAACATTAATTTAGACAAACCGGAATATAATACCAGCATAACGTGGAACATAAACTGACAATTTCTCATTTCAATTTTTATTTTCGATTATTAAGCGCCGCAAGCGGTCATAAATTTAGGATAATCAAACATGAAATAAAATAAAAGAGTCATTTGAATATTCGTTCGTCGTGGTGTTGGCAAACATTTACAAACGTCTACAAACGTACGTATATAGCTAAGCGAATGAAAGGCAGACTATTAAAACGGATTGCACTCATTAAGGAGGAATCGATGATTATTGTCGCAACAAAAACCAACTGTGACGTGCAATAATCTCTCTGCCGACAACGGCAACAGCAACAAAAACAACGACGACGCAACATTACAAAGCCCCTCAAATCGCACTGACGAAAATTCGAATTAGTATGCGTATGCTTTTGTTTGAACATTTGGTTCAACGATTTTATGTGTGTGAAATGTTTTATTAGAAAGTGTCAGTTTGTGGTTGCCGTCGAATAACACAAAACAGATAATCTGTTTGTGAAGTTCAGTTAAACGTTTCAACAATTTGCATGATGGAATCCCCAAAATTGTGGATAATATTCTGGGTAGCAAAATCACTGTATATGCATGTATATTGAAGCCGATTTATGAGGTTGGTGCCTGACAAATTCAAATGTGAACCATTTCATTGGCACATCCTCGATGAAACTTTATTTGAAACAATCTCGAAAAATAAATGTATCATTACATTCAGAAATGTTTTGAGAAGATGTATGGGATTGGCTAGGTGGTGCGTTGTCAACACTAAAACGGATGACTCAAATACCGATAAAGCGTTTAAGCGATATGGAAATTGGTTGGCGCTTTGTTTTGCTTCGGTTGTTTATGGAATAAACGTAGTTAATTCATCAAATTCGTAATGATCGCGCATCAGCTACAGAGAAAATGATTATGGGCATACTTTGTCCTTTGGCGTATTTTGTCGTATGTATCATACGAATGCAGACTCCGCCTGTATACTATCCGTCGATGTGTGTACCAAACAAGCTGATGATTTACCATCAAAACACAGTCAGTTCTTCAAATTAATATCTATACACCATATATATTATATTGCAAAGGAAACGCGAAGCAATGAATATTACAGGCTGTATTTATAAATATTCAACTGACTGGATGCATATTTATTCATATGGACTCGAACAAATGTGCGTACACATGCCTGCGTGAACTAAAAGCAGAATTCGACTCGTAGACCATATGTACACTGTACGTTTTTCAATTTGATTCATCAGCACTAGCATTTGGTCGCATTTATATTTTTCATCCGATTTTCATCTATTTGAAGTTCTCAGTTATTCGGTTTGTACATAAAATTGTGTGCAAAAGCGGGCGAATTTCATTTGAATGATTGCATTCGTACACATAGGAATTTATTAAATAAACACAATATGCTCAAACATGATTTCCAATGCGAGAGAGGTCGACGATGGCGGCAGCGGCAGTGGCAGTATCAGTGAGCACGAAAACATTTTGAAAAATTACACCAAATAAAATCCATAATAGCGATGAGAAATGATGCGTTTCGATAATAATGATCATCGCCATGGTTGGCATCAAAATGGATTCGACTGTGCCAAAATGAAAACTGCGGTAAATGATGGCTTGAATGGTGTACTAGAGTGAGAGGGGAACGCGAGTAAAAGCAATTGAAAAGAAAAATCGATGGTCGACGACCATTGGTCGTGTTAATGTGCATTTATAAAATCAAGACCTCGATTAAGAGCCGACTCACACATATAATTAAAGACTATTCAGACTGCATTGAACCATGGGTTAATAATACATTGGCTGAGCTAAAGAGTTTATCGTCGCTCTCCGTGTTTTTCTAATGAGGAGATTTTATATTATTATATTGATTCGGGAGTTTTCACACAGCGGCATAAAAATGTTGAACGAAATGAAATGATGAACACACACACTCGCACACCGCCAACAGTGTGGAAAAATGAGCTACGCACCAAACACAATCAAAAAGTAAATATAAACTGCAGCATGAGCAAATGCCAACCGAGCATCAATGTTTCAATGGCACTTTCGATTTTTCCTCGTTTTCATTGCACGCATTTTCGTTTTACGCGCGCGTCGCATACTCGGAAATTGTCGAATATTTATTCCACAAATTTACTACTTAGCTGTTTACATAACGTGCCCCGTGTTGGTGTTGTGTTCTATCGTTGTACCAAGAGTTGCGTCTGTTATTCTATATTTGGTTAATTTTGAAATGAACATACACACACACACACAAAATTACACGAGTAGACAAAGAGTGCACGATTCATGGTGAATGAAGTGTGTTCATCAGTAGAAACAAACACATGATTGAATTTTACAGTTCATTTTTGTGACGTTTTTTTTCTCTTCTTCTTCGGAAAAACAGGTTCAAACGGCGAACACACTGCGTTGATCTGAAGGAACATTTCCTATCCTTCTGTTTGTTGTTTGAATGTTCGTCGTTGTTGTTTTACAGCTATTTTATATTGTTCGTTTTTTTTTTCGTCTCAACACCCATAAAAATGTGCTGGAGAAAATCACAATGAAACTTTTGTCGATTTATTTTTTTATATATATTTTGGTGGCACAGCACGATCGAAGCGATTTTCGCAGGAGAAACAACACGCTTCGAAAAGGGCCAAACAAATGTTCTAATTGAAGATAATATAAAAGATACGAAAGAGAAAAAAGATGAAGAAAAAAATTCCAATTTTTTCTCTGCCTGTGCCAGGCGATGTGTTCCATTCCATTTACTCCACGTCTTTGCAATAAATGTGTTCTCAAGAAAGTTTTCGTTTGTGCGCGAGAACAGCGCCGATGTTCATTTTCCGCGGTTGTATTGTGAATGCTGGCGTCTATCAACAATATAAACGGGAAAAGAATCGAAACACAGTTTGAGGTGAAAATCGTGAATAGACGCAAAAAAACGCAAAACAGTACAACAACAGTCTGTAGATTATCAGCAGAAATTATGCCATTCACGGTCGTCAATGGTTTGTGCGTTTTGGCGCCGATGACAACAACAATTTTGATGACACATAGAAAATATATGGAATAAGAGGTGGCAACGGGATTATGACAAGCAAAATGAAATGTCGGGCGGAAAGTCAAGCGAAGCCAACGAATATATATATATACATCGTCAAAACCGAAGCAGCTCAGTTTGTGATTGAATGTGACGTAGCGAGACCCATTAGATATTCTCATGCTGCGAAAGTGTTTTTGCAAGGTTCGCCGTTATTACTGTCGAAGCAGCGGTGTTGAATTTCGAAAAAATGTAATACAAAACTTCAATTATCTTCTGTAGTATAGCACACTTTAGGAGAATAGCAGTATTAGAGCGTTTCCATTTCGGGCATTACATCGAGGGAAATATGAAATGAGAGACAGATCCTGTCACATACAATGCACAGAATATTTCGTACACAAACTATTGCAGCTGTCGTCTATAGAAAATCATTCATTCCATTTTCGAAGGATACATTTTTCATTAATTATTATCATCACCTGAAAATGATACTTGTTTCGCCAAATTGTTCCACTAGATAATGCACAAGGTGGGCACAACCACTTGAACGATTGGAAATGATCAACGAGCTGAATAAATCACTGTTAACGATTTTTCAAGACTTTAATTAATAACAACAAATCACATTTAATAACAACCAAAATGAAGCCCTCACAACAATCATATTTTTATTATAATTTTATTTCCAGTGCTCCCATTTTTGACACCCTTGACGAAATAAAAATGACACTTTTTATAATATTAATGTAACAATTCTGTACAATAACGGCAACCGAACATGATGTCGTATCTGATTTTGTGTCAATCAAAATGAGGCACAAAATCAATAGAATGTTAACATGTTCAAATGAGAGAAACGCTCACAACCTCCCCTAAAAACATGGCAAACTTGAAATTACAGACGGCTTCTAGTCTCTCGTGGGACTAATTTAATAACCGATAGGGAGATAATCCATCATACATTTTTTTTGGTTGGAAAATAGATTTATGGTAGCGTTGAACTGCTGATAAAGATGTATTCATGTGCGCTTTGCGACGCGACGTCATTATGCTGGGTTTCGATTTATTTACTTGCGGCTTCGTCTCTTCGTATCGCATAAAAACGAATCTAAAAGCGGCGGCTCAGTTATCTTTTACAGACGGATTTGGATTTGTATTTGTTGAAGTTTTCTCAACAAAAGCCGTAATTTTAATTCAAGTTCCGAAACGAAAGTAAAAAAGACCAAAACACATACAGAAACAGTAGGAAATGGAATAAGAACAGAAAATTAAATACATAATGTCGTAGTCTTCACAAAATGAGCAAGCAGCTGAAAGAATGTGAAATCAATTTTGTATAGAATACGTGGATTACTTTGAATAACCAGTAATCACACTTTTGTTGAAGAGATTCCAGTTAAAATAGAATATAAAGTGTTTGACATAGTCTAAGCACTGCGAAAAAAAACTTACTGTATACTTGGAGCATGATAAGATAGCTTAAGACAGCTTATTTTCTAACCAATCACATATTTGTTGGAATAATCCCATCATCACACAAAATGGTAGTCAGTTTGACCAAAACTAACTACACGACCATAAATCAATAATAGCAGTGTTAATATGTACGTACATCATTACATGAAAAAATATCAAAGAAATTGGAACATTTATTTGGATTGAACGAGTTCCAATATAGTTAAATTTGATTGGGTTAAATGAAAACGTATTATTGATACTTACCTTTAAAATAATGAAATTCATTCCGGCCATGGTGGTTTTATGTCTGAATGGAGATCAGAAAAAAGTGAAATTAATTCTCTTGAATCGGCCGCTGTAGTGTTGACCGAACCGAAAAGAAATCAGTTTTTCGCATAAATTCCGCACTTTTCCGTGCAGTTGATCACTCAATTGTGTTGCTGCCGTTTTTTTTTTGCTTTGCTCTCCGGCGACTCTCAATTCTTTTTCTTTTCTTGTTCGATTTTATTTCGCACAGCACAAATTTATTTCCCTTCGTATTTCGAAGCGAATGCTGAATTGCATTCCACTTGCGTTGCAGTCAACAGTTTTTCTCTGTTGTCAAAGCGCGTTCCCTCTCTATTCGTTATTATTAATATTACTGTTGTTGGTGCTGCTATCCTATTTTCCTTTCCTGTCGTTTTTTTCTTCGTATTTTCCATTTATTTGCGAATCTCGTTTTTCGAGACTTGTTGTTGTTGTTGTTGTCGGTTGGGTAATATTTTTTTGTTCACTTCTTTTGTAAATGTGCACGGAGGCATGCATAAAATGCAAACGGTCCGTATGAATAGATTGTTAGTGTGTATATTACTCTCTCGAGGTTATTTATATTTGCAATTAACGATAAAATATCGTTTGATGCTTGCACAGCAGCCAAGGCGTCAGTTTTACAGTGTGCATTTTTACTTGAACGCCTTTGTTTTTACCATGGAGAGTTTTAACAATTCATTTGGGGGAGCGACGGGCACACACACAGAACAAATCAAGTATTCCATGCGCGCACTCCCTTTCTCGCTCTTTCTCTATTATATTGGGTTCACTAAACGATGCTATCAGCAAATAGCCAGAAATGCTGCAAAAGAAAAGCAACAACAATTTTATTTGCAACGGGTTAAAATGGATATTTTCGATTTAATTCTGGTACAATATTCGACCATTCGATCGAACCGTGTGGCGGCTGTTGAACGTCAAAGTCATTTGAGGCGATGCGAGCGCCCCCAATTTCAAAGGGCACATCAATGTAATTTAACATTTCAAATCGGAACTACACAGCGCGCCAATTCGAAATATAGGAAAATATAGTGTCAACAGCCGCACCATGGATCGAACACAAATAGACTTATTATTACAATCGACACTTTCTGCCATTCATTGCTGAACGCTGGGCTCTTATTCAAATAAAGGATTGGCAACTGAGAATTTTAAATGACTTTAATTATGTTGGAATTGAACAAAAACAAGAACCGCTTTTGAAGCGCTCAAAATTGAAAATTGTGCTCCAATATCGACGCGATGAGTCCCTTCAAAATCAATGACATCCGTTTTTTTCTTCTTCAAATTTCATCAACACTCATTTGAAGTAAATAGTCGTCTTACTTCGATAATAAGAGTGTGTGATAGATTTTGTTGCCCATTATGGCGATGTCATGCATCTGGAAAATGCCACCATACCAGTCTCGCACTTTTCAAATGAATCGCTTTCACAGGCGATGATTTATTGATTGTTCGTTCGTTTGTTCATTTCACTTCCTCTTATTCGATGAAAATATGGTGTCGAAGGCAAAAAAACCATTTCTTCAAAAAAAGAATCACAAGCCCATGAATATTGAAGAACGATTGCACTTGTGCTTGTGAGAGAAAAAACATTCTGCATTCCCTATATCGAAGCCAAAATGAGCCGAGTGTATGTGCTTCAATATAAATACATACCTTGTATTTGTTTTGAATTCTTTCTTTATTGACTTTGCACAGTGCATACATACTCACAAACCGCACACAAACTTCATCAGAATCGAAATAAAATTTCGAAAACATGTGGCACGCACTGCTACAGCGGTAGCACCATACCAAGCAAATACAGCCGATACGAATAACAAATCAATTTCAAAATGCAATGCATCAATTGTAACAAATCACACAGTGAATGCAAACGCACAATGCCGTCGCGTTGGTTTTTTTTTTCTCATTTGCATAAATCGCATTTAGATCGATGGTACACAGCATTAACGTACAAACATCAACCGTTTGAACTGTAACTCAAACTTCAATGCGCATTTGAACTTCGGTATAAATGCTGGTTCATGCGGAATTCATATTCTGTTTGAACTTCGAATTATTTTCGCATCAATGAAAATCCATATTTCGAGGGTAAATATTTCTATGGGCTAAATTTGAATTGGATAGTTCTTATTTATGCGAATTTAAATTCGCACGTTTAATTAAAATTTCATTTTATAATTGATTTAAGCTATGGAAACATTGCGGAACAATGAAAGCAGTGGCATAAAAGTTTGGTATTACAGAATTCGATTACAATCGGCCTGTATTTGGTTTGACCGGCCACAATGTACACCTCGATATCCATAGCTAATATCGGCCTATAGAATGGCATGGGTTTGATTTGAGCCAGGAGAGAGACTTTTACGAACGGTTTATCGCGGCTCGAGATTTACCACAAGCTGTTGATTTTCAAGCTGAATTTCATTTGTGTCGATTGTTGTTGGTTTGCTTACACCATTGCCAACCACTCGGGAACGCAATGAATTTTCTATTTATTTTAAACAAACCATAATTCACATGGTCATATGAAATGCAAAAACGTATAAATGCAATATTTATTAATTGCATGCACGCCATTCGTTGTATTCAACAGCAATCAGTGTGCACTCTAAATAATTTTCTTTGCATACTACATATATATCAGTATCGCTAGAATCAAACAAATGCCAATGGATGTAATCGCATTTTCCAAGCTGATTATCAGTTAGCTGATGATTCGTCAGAACGTTTCGATGCCTCAGCAAAATTGTGAATCAACAAAAACAATATATCCAACGAGTGCACAATTAGTTATTCAATTGAAATCCATTGCTTCGTCGCCACAGGCGTTAAAAATTTTATATCGTTTGTTGCGATTGCAGAGTATAATATGAAATCCCTCCATGAACAAAGGTTTTTCTACCTCACTCCCTGTCTCTATCTCTCTTTCTCGCTCTTCACAATAATATCGCAATTTGTCTTCGAAACAGCAGAGCAATTGTACTAAATTGGCAACGCGAGCAAAGCGTGACTTGTGAATGTTATGCAATTTCATTGGACTCCCTGCTTGGATCTTGTATTTTGATTTGGGATCACTGGGCTGGAATTCTAAGTCATTCCACCAAAATCGTTCGGAATTATTTTTTTCGTACATAAGACCATATTGGAGTGAAAGAGAGAGATTTCACTATTTTTCAGCGTCCCACCGCAATTATTTCTCACACAATCCACTCTTCCTTGAGTTATCGGAATAATTCCGGTGGAACGCTGAGAAATAGTGGAATCTCTCTCTTTCACTCCAATATGGTCTTATGTACGAAAAAAATAATTCCGAACGATTTCGGTGGAATTCTTAGAATTCCAGCCCTGGTCAGGAATCATTCTCCAATGACTTTGCTTTGGAAGCCGGATTTTATGTGTTCCTCATAAACGAAATAAAATTGCATTCAATTGAACAATTACGACTATGAGTTTTGTGCATTTCATGTTCGTAGTTAAAAGGCCTCTGAATTGTTGTAAATAAGCGATAAAACGTTTATCGATTGATGTTTGCCACTTTTTAATGCAACCAAGTTTCCAATGCCAATGCGTATTTCAAATTAACCAACAAAAACCTTATAAAAAGGTTTGTTCAATGATTTTATTGATGGCATTTTATTTAATGGCTTTGTTAAAGATAGAAAAAGAATATTAGTAATATATCCTCATTTGAATTTAAAAAAATTCGAAACAAATGCGGATTCAATCACCGAAAACGAAAATGTATTTCGAACTATCGAAAATCATTCTAATTGAAATATGTGTTGCTAAATGCATAAATTCTAGGCATTTCAAGCCATTGCCCATATGCATCATACTATATGGATGGAGGAGTCAGTGACATCATAGGCATTACACATTTGCTTAAAGAAAACGGCGCAAAAGAAAAGAATTTGCTTTATTGTTCGTTTGTCGGTGTGCATTTGTTCACGCGCCAGAATTTATAGATTTTTACATTTTATTTCTCTCTTCCCCTTTCTTTCTCTCATTTGGCTTCTCTCAGAAACACGATCACAATGCGTTGCGTACGCTTTATCCTTCTAGCCACAAATCGAAACAGTGTGAAACATATATGCTCAAGTGTGTATTTTTGTACGATTCCATTGTTAGTTTATTTTATTTGATTATTATTTGTTATTCAAGTTTTAACTCCTTCTTTTTCTTCATCTTCGTTTTTCCTATTTCTTTTACCGCATTTTCTTCAATTGAATATTGTCGTATTTGTGTCTGTGTGTGCATCTCTGTGTGTATGTGTTGTCGCATTCGAACGACAAATCGGCCTATGTGTTGCGTTTTCATTATCGAGTGTGAATGTTTTGAATGCAATGCATATGTGCTGTTCTCGTTTTAGTTCTTCTTTCTCTCTCTCTTCTTTCCTGTTATAATGTTATGGCTTCTTTTGTTGTTCATATGTGCTCAAAAATATGTGTGTGTGAGTGGAAATCTGTGCACCATGATTATGATTATTATGGGATCATGTGCACGAAACGAGTAGAGAGGAGAAAAAAAACGACAAGCCTCTATATGTATATATGTAGTTTTGAGCTTGGCAATCGCATGTAGGTATACCTTTATTTCCTCTTATTCGTTCGGCATAGGCACTCTCAATTCCACACTCGTGCGCGTGGTTTTGTTTGTGATTCAGTCTAGACGTGGTGTCGCATATTGTGCACACGACCATCATATAAATTCTTCTATTTCATGTTTCTGACGTAGTCGTCACCATTGCATGTTTCCTTTATCTTCATCATTCGCAAATGCATTGGAACCTAACACGTATGCACAGAAAAAAAACACAGTCGCAAGCAGCTGAGAACCACTGAAAATGGCGATAAAATAGATAGAGAAGCGAAAAAAAACTATGAAAGAATTCTTTTGCTTAATGTCACCGTTTTTTTCCTCATTCTGCTGCACTAAAGGCTTTTATTTTTCCTCATCATCTCTTCACTATTAAAGATGGAATGCTTAAAACTGTACCAGTCAGCAGATGAACTAAATCAAAACGATCTTTTTGAAAAGACCACATTTGAATGTGTCATCAATTTCTATGAAATCACTGCAGGAATTCTGCTACCACTACTTTAGGTGAGTTTATATAGTGTTCATTTTTCAAGAAATTTAAAATAATTGGCTTTGTTTTACAGAGGATTGCCAATGAAGACATAAATTTCCAACTATGGTTTTCGGCACTTAGTAAGTTCCATTTTATTCTCCATCATCACATAATACTTGCTACGAATGCACTTTTCATGCAGTGGATGTATATCGTACGCCCACGATAATATGCTTCGTGCGTTAAAACACTGCTGGTGCGCACCACCTTTGGTTTTGCAGCTTCAATCATATCAATGATATCGGCAGTTATTTTGAAAATTTACACTTAATGATTGGATGGTCTATTCGTGTTCGACGAAAGTATAATATAGTCCAAATATATGAACAATTCAGTAAGATTACCTAATATTGTTGCGTTTGAAATTACCAGAACATTAGGTTTAAATATATATATATATTTATTAGAGATAAATAACTATAAATTTAGAAGAAAATTTGGATTTACTATGATCCGAGAATTGAATTTACAAAATGTTTTACACACACCGAACCGAACAACCTTATTTATTTCTACATTTCACATTTCACATTTAACACCGGTTTTGCCCACAGTGAAAACCACAACATGGACGATTGATTCTACCTCTTTATTGAAACAATTTTAAATGCCAGCAAAAAATATTCAGTCTTCACAAATGTCGATGGAAAAAAATTGTTCATTTAAATTACAATCGTTGGAAGAAAATTGAAATTTCAATGTTATCTTGTGTTAATAAAGATTTGTTTTTTCTAATAAGCACCCACTAAATCTTTTCTGGTTTTACTCATTTTTTTTTATTGTTTTCATCCGAAAATAAATATTATTTTGTCACATAAACAGATATCAAGTAACATCAATTTTCCACAATTGAAAAAAAAAACATCGACAATTTTATTTAGAATAAATGCACGACAATGATTTGAACTTCCCTCGTTCACAGACAATATTCACATGACGTTCGAACGCAACTACGGTCTAAACGAAACTGAAATTGCTGCTGCTGTTGAAAGACACTCTAGCTGCTGCGAAAGACGTAATACAATGCGGTAGGAGCCGATACGCATATTCCGTGGCGCACTAAGATCAGCAGATAACAACAATTGGATGTTACGCTGGATGGATAGTATCGAAACCGATTGCGAAGTGAAAACGCAATTCATTCGTGTGCTATTGCTAAATGCTATAACTTGCATTGGATGAGCGACTCTTTTTTTTACAGCACCGCATTCCATAGCCGATGCATAGAGACACTTGTGTATGTGTTGTTGTGTGCAGTGAATATCCATTTTTAGTGGTTTCTCCATTACTAAGTACGTTATTCTTCATACCAAACGGAATGGTTCGAAACAAGTGACTTTATCTATGGCGTTATCGTTAGGTGGTAGGAACTGGTTTGTGTCTTGCGTTAAGTACAGCACACAATTAGCAGCATGTGGAGACGCCAATAAATCCTTTTTTGGGATTCAATTCTTAGCAACGGCTCGCAACAACATGAATATTGATGCAGTGAAATTGAGCAGCTGTTGAAATTATGAAATGAAACTTAGTTCTGAAAATCAATATACAAAAATAATACTTACACTTTTGAAGGTTTCAAATGAACATTTCGCTATTTCAAAACCAGCTAAATGGAAAGGCTTCTGACTTTGCTGTATGATTTGTCGCATAAATTGCTGATATTTAACTGGATATTCATACCAACATGACTGTAAGGCTGCGTACGTTATTTTTTCACAATTTACTGTCATCGAATTGCCACAATAGCAATAAATGAACATGAAGAGCGTTACACATTGTGCAGAAATAAATGATTGCATAAAATGAATGTCCAGCTTAAGAAGAAAATGGTTAATAATTTAATCAGTTATAAATTAATAAGAATTCTCATTATTTTCATTAACATTTACAAACACAACTAACACATATGTCTTGAGCATTGAATATTTGGTGACAAAATAGTACTTATATGGAACCACTGTAAAAAAAAATTATCAACTGCCCGAGTGAACCAAAGAAAAGGTTCATAAGGCATCTAGACTTTTGCGTATACCTTGCGTATATATGCATTGGAGCGAACGAATATGTTTTTTTTTACTGTAAACATTTGCGAAAGACAGGATGAAGAGAAAAAAAACCATTCACTCCTATGAACGTATAAACAAGGTATATGCAATTGCGTCCATACCTTACGAAACATTTCTACGTTTTACTCGGGTGTTTAACCTTCCAACCGTGAAATGTATTTCCTAACGTTGTTCGTGAAACCGGTGCCTGAGTGCCCATAATGCATTTTAAATGGAAATGTCAGTTTTTTCTTAAATTTTTATTTTTAAATGTAAATATTTCACTAGGATTTATTGATCGGAAAAGTATGAAAATTACTTTGAAATGTGATAAAAGTCATAGTAATTCGAAACATGAAAGATAATAGCAAGTTTTTTGGAACTTTTTCAATAAAGTGGAGATTGCAATGTTGATCTCTTCACAAAAATGAAGCCAAAAACATATACATACAATTGTGTCGCTGAGCATAAAAATGGGAATACAGATCTGTTACAGCAACAACCGAACATAAAATATTGTTCCCTAAAAACGTTACATGAATTTCCATCTAACGCGAGTGTAACATGAGTTGCATTAGAAACAGTATTAGCTCATGTTACACTCGCGTTGGATAGAAATTCATGTAACGTTTTTTGGGAACAATATCTTATGTTCGGTTGTTGCTGTAACAGATCTGTATTCCCATTTTTATGCTCAACGACACAATTCCACTATAGCCGATTTTGACGTAAAAAACTGAGATTTTGAACGGCAGGTTGGATCAAAAAGTTGTGTATATCACTAGAAAGGCCTTGAAAAGTAGATGTCATTTTTGGTATAAAACTTCAAAATAGGTCGGCATTTGGCCAATATTTGGCCGTTGGAATTTTCTTGGACAAAATTGATAAAATGGCCATATTTTGATAAAATGATGATCGATTATGATGTTTTATATCTCAAATTACATGTACTTTTCAAGATCTTTCCAATGATGTATATTTCATAGTTCCCACATTAATTTTTTTACGCAATTTGTTGAAAAATCTATATGGGCATAGAGGCACTGGTATCACGTATGGCGCATCACACATGTTTATGCACATATGTGTTAAGCTAGTGTACGTATATGAGGATGTTAGCCCAATTTATGTAGCCAAATGTTCAACGAAACGAACCATAGTTATTTTATCCATTTATGATCAAAAATAATGACGATATAAGCGTTAAAAGTTGGTCTCTCTTTGAGCATACAGTGCCCAAATCACGGTTTGAAGGTTAAAAACAGCGTTGACTCAAAAATGAAGTTATTATATTAGCAACATATGTTATCCAATCTAATGATAATATAGCTTTGGCAATGTCACTTACTGATAACATTTGATATAAAGCTGTGCATAACCAAAGGACTCCTACAAGGAACATGCTGAAAATAAAACCATTAACGTAATCCGAAAATAGGCCGAGCAGTCTTAAATGAACAAATAAAAGGAACAATTTAAAGTCATTGTTATTTTTCGTCCGATTTTTTGTTAATTTCACCTGAATATGTTTTCGTTGAATAACAAAAATTCGCGAAAAAGTGAAAATGTGTTTGAATTTATGGACAAGTTATTATTTTCAATATTTTTAGTCCAAATTCCATCAATTCGCTTGAAAATATCCATTAAATCTCGTATGAATGTCTCGATATACCAGCAAACTCCAAAAAATAAAGTGTTTATCAAGCAAATTATTCCGCCGATAATGAGAACTCCCACAATTTGTGTGGCCAATGAAATGGCGTATCCAACGCCATAATTCTGGTTAAACGGCATCCTGACGTATGGAAATGAAGAAAATTGCTAATCATATAGTTTTTTTTGATCAATCTTTTATATTTCCATACGTACAGGCTTTTATATGGCAAGAACCATACAGATGATCTATATGTTCCACAGATCATATGATATAACACCACATGAAATGGCATCCCCAAGACAATTATAAATAAAATTCCAATCGATATGTAAAATTTCACAGATAAGTTGTTCACGTGTTCCTTTGATTTGCTGTATCTTGTCACATCGAAGCCAGATCCTGAAAATAAAAATTGGTCAGAGACATGAACGGTTCGGTTTGCTTTACGTACTTTGGTCAATGAGCTCTTCGAAATCGTTAAAAAGATGTGTGAGATGTGGTTTTGTGAAAACTAATATAAAATATTGGCCCAAGTGTAGAATCGACGGAAACAAAATGCTCAACACCTCAGCTGCATCATTTACATCCGACGAATATCGTATGAAATAAGCTAAACACGGCAAAACTAATGCTAATTGAAGTAAAATCAAAACTATGTTAATGCAAACGGTTAAATAGTTAAATGACGATTTTCCATCGAAAGAGTAAACTCCTAAAATTTGGCACACTTTTTTCACTGCACTAAATGATCCAGGCGTACTTTTTGAACCCATTTTTATGACTTATCAATACGTTATGAGAAATTTCATAGAGACCTCAACTATTTATAATTTAAATGTCAAAAGAATTAATAACAGGGTTTGAGAAGTCTGATTTAATGAAAACGCAACCTGAGATTAAAAATGTTCATATTCAGAAAGAAAATGACATGAAAGGTTTTACTGCGTGTACGGTGTCACTTATTAAATCAATACCACAAAATCAATCACGTCCAAAAAAAGATATTCAATTTCAACAACTTACGTTGGGGCGTCTATCGCTAATGTGATAACAAGAGCAATTACACTAATTATACCCCAGCGCCTGTCTTCTTTTCTTCAGACGGGCACACCGAGGCACTTTGAAATCTATCCAAATAAGTCTGACTATTGGGGATTAGGCAGTTTTGAGTGCATTTTGAAGTGGTGCTATGAAATCATGTTTTTAGATGTATTCAGATTACTTTCCAATTGCATTTTACTTTTATTTCTGTATTTCGAAGAGTTCAAAGGTTAATCTGAACTACAAACGCACCTCTCTAGAAACTAATATGCAATTTAAATACTACAATTTTGGAAATTGTGTGGATGATTATACCTCACGTTAAATTGTATAAATTGAAAGAAATGGGAATTTCATCTATAGACTGCATATACGCAATGAAAAGTTTGTTCAATTTAATTATTAGTTAGTTAATCAATGGGGTTGAGGTACCTGCGGATGGTTTCTCTAATGAATAATCTTAATAAACTTAGTGGGAATGTAGTTCAAGTAAAGAAAAAACTACATAAAATCAAACAACGAAACTCTTGAAATCTTTTGATTTAAATGGCTTGAAAAGCTTTCAAAACAAGCGCAGCTACAAACCGTTTCCGTTAAATAGTTGAAGGGATGAAAAAATGGAAAAGCTTTTGCATGTAGCATTGTCATAAACCACATATCAAGCGCATGTGCGAACTTCCCCTCCGATGATGAAGTGTTTCTAATTCAAATGGACAAAGTGCAAGTCATAGTTCTATAAAAAGAAACGTCACTCGTTTGAATGTTTAAAACTGTTATTTTTAAAATATATTTCCTGAAAAAAAAGTTATATTGAAACGCTCAGCTTTTTGTTTCCAATCATTTTAATTATAATCATAATAGCTTTATTTATTTCCAACACCAAACATATAATTAATTTGCTTTCAAGATTATTTCTAATTCAAATAGAAGGGTGTTTGTTTTTTTTAAATTGGCCATTTTCTTTGATGAAGATATCGAATTTCGACAATGTTTGGATTCGAATCTATGTAAACAAAATTTAGTTCAAATGCGCACTTTCTTATAACAAAAAAAATGTTCTTGTTCATACCTATTAAATTTTAAAATGTTGTGTTCGTTATGGGAAATTCTACAATGCGCAAATATTGAACAGAACATTTGATTATTTTGTACGAATAAATTGTTAAGTCGGGCAAAAAAATCTTATCTATTTTCACGTAGGCATTTTTTGTTTAATTTTTTTTTTTGTTTATTCATTTCGTCGCGCTCAAAGTTTAATTAGATATTGTTTCTGTTTGTTTTAAATCTGGTGCACACCTTTTTAGTATTTACGTGCAATATAAATTATTTAAAAATGCTGCATGGTTTTTTTTTCAAAGCTTCAACTATTATAGCAAATTTGCTGTGGATGCAACTGGTTAGGTGTCAGTGTTATGGTACTTATTTCATCGTGTCATTCTTATTAAACGGTAACAATGTTCGTAAAAAAACGTCTAGAGAAATAACATCAATGTATATCGTCGTCCAATTGTGAACCTCGACTCGATTAGGCGAATTTTTTTTTTACATTAAATTGTATTTAAATGTCTTTTGTGTGTAATTAGTTAATCATTCATTTAATTTATTCACTTTCCTCTCATTTTTGTATTAGATGGTTTTTGTTTGATTGGAGTTGGCTCGCTTTATTTACCGAATTCCATGTAAAAATGAGTTCAAATGTCTTTCGGGTGATCTGTTTTCAGTGACATCTGAAAATTGTGTTTGATTAGAGGATGAAAGTGATTTTAGCAATCTATAAACTGGATTTCTGTCGCAACATACATTTTGAAACAAAACAAAATTCTTGCAATTTTTTTTCCTCTATTTTTATTTTGTTGTACACCTATTTCATCATTTTAATATCATGCAGTGTGTAATTTTGTCTTTAATCATTCACAGGTTCTCTGAATCAATGCTAGAGATAGTATTTGATTCATTGCATGCAATTTGCTTTAACTTACGAATAAATTTCTTATAATTTTCCTTTGAATTTCTGGTTAAATTTATACTTGTAAAATGTTGCAATGCACTGTATTTACAATAGATTTGTTTTTTATTTTAATTCATTTCATTCGTAATTTTTAATTAGTGGACAGATTTATTTTTCATTCAAGTTTTTGTTTTTATTTCAGTGTCACATAAGTTAAATGTTTATAACGTTTCTTTCAAAAAAATGTTAGGTTTGCTTTCGCGCTTACGAATAAAAATGTTATTATATTTTTTTCGTTCATTGCATCTCTGTTTTCAATTGTTCTATTAATAATTTGTATGCATCTAACTTTTGGTGGCATAGCATATGCTGAATATCTTGTTGTTCGTTTTTTTCCTGCTTTTGAATTGCATTAAGAGTAAGTATTTAATGGATGGCGGAATGTTAACAGCTTCACGTTTTATTTTGTTGCGTAAGTTAATTAATGCGCGCAATAGTTTAGATATTGTTTCATCTTTGCCCGTTCATTCTCATTCATTCTCGAGGTCCATTCAACTTCATTTAATAACGAAATTTTACACAATACAATATAGACGGCAGTCAAATTCCAATATGATTTCTTTTTTTTCATTTTTTCCTGTGTTCATGTAAAATATAGCGAATACTGACCTATTTTTTAAGACATAGAAAGGATGGATTGGGTTTGGAGAAAGCAACTTATACTTAATAGTGACTTCAGTCACGTTTTAGTCGAAACGAACTATTGCACACGGATATTTTCAACTAGTGAGAAATCAAGTATGTAACAAGAAGTTCCGAAATTTTAAAATAAAAACAAATTGTTCCGCATCCAACTTCTGAAGCGATCGATTCATGCACACGATTCATACACGGTGAAACTACAAGATTTTGTAAAAGTTTTTATTTTTTTTTTTTTGATTCTAAGCGTATTTTTGTGCATAGTCAAGATAAGATCAAGACGATTTGGGATATCCGTTCATATGGAACAGCTTTTCATTCATTACATAAGCTAAACATTCGCACATGGGAAAAATATAAATGAATGCGTAAAATTATTCCGTGCGACTGAATGTGTTTGGGTCGTGGCGGATTTCTATGATTGCGTTTACAAAAGCTACCTCCAATGAAATGACTTGAACGAAGTGTCGACTAATTGTCGGTAGCCTTTGCGTTATCTTTTAAACTTACAATATGGACAAATAAACTGAAAACGCCCTAGGACTTGCTATGACCAGCCTGATTCCAACAAAGAGATGAATAAAACAATTAAATTGTTTTTTTTAAATATGTTTTCAATGTTTCGCAGTATGCTTAAACCGAAACCAATTTAAAAAACCAAACGAAACCTTTTTCTATATACAATTTTGAACTTTCTAAACAATTTTTTTTTTCCATTTTCATTCGCTGTAGTTATCAAAATTATATCGACGAATCAAAAACCAGTAAAAATACTTGATTCGTCTAAAAAAATTTGCAATTATCTATTCATAAAATAGCAATGAATCCACATTTTATACTAAGTTGCTAAGTATTTTGGCCGCATATCTCCTTCCATTAACTACATATATCTTCTTCTTTTCTTTCATATTTGGCTTTGAGTTTTACTTCTCGGTGATCTCATTGACACAATAATACAAGAAGCATTCAATGAAAATTAGTCAGTAGGATAAAAATTTGTTTTGTTTTTCAAATACGTACTAAATAGAAAAATTTAAACCAATTTTTTTTTCATTCATTACTTTTAAATTCTGCTAAATCGACGCGTTTAAATGCGCTTGCTTGATTACAAACGTATTTAGTATTGAATTTAGTATCTCTGTTGATACTCATGATGCCACCTATTGAAATCAATGTGGAACACAATGATCGATCCCGTTGCAAGGCCAGCCAATAAATACCTGTAAATGAACATAAAAATTAATCCAATCAGTTGAATGTCCCATACAAATGAATAACCATTTAAAATGAAAAACAGACGTATGAACCTAGAGATAGTACAATAAAAACATACTTTTGGTCATGAGTTAATGCCAATGAACGAATGCCACTGCTGCAAGCTGGGAATGCATATAATGGAGCAAGATTGAATGTTCGCCATACTTCAACAATACCACGGTCTCCGGCTGTCATTAGATATTCACCATCACGTGACAATATCATACTCTGGATTTTCGGAAGGAAAAAAAATTAGTAAACAATCATTTAGTGAAGAATGTACGGTTTCATACCTGTAGATTGTCGTTGTGCGATTCGTGTCTCAGACGTTTTCCATTGATCGTATAAGCTGCAACATTGCCCTTGTCATAGCTGACAACGATGAAGCCTTCACGGGACATTGAAATTAGTTCGGGTGAAACGAATTCAGTCGGTGGTTCTAGTGAACGCAACAAATCTCCGAAGGTTGTGTGAATCAAAACTGGGCCGTCTTAAAATTGAAATTTAATTTTATTTTACATTTTCATTCCGTTTCGTTTAAATTCATTTGTATTTTAGTCTTACTTATCGAGCCTGAAACAACTAATCCCAGTTCAGCGCTGATTACAACGGCGGAGACGGCTTGCTCATGTCCGGTCAATGTTGCTCTGGGTGTTGGCACTTCACCTTCGCCAACAATGCTTTGTGTTCGTGCATTCCAGTGCCACAGTAAAACTGTGCAATCAGCCGAACCCGACGCAATGTAGCAATCGGATGTAATATTGCACTCAGATCGGGATAAACAAGAAACCACATCAAAGTGACCAAAAACAATTTGTACAATTTTTGCTGTTTCCGTTAAGTAAACGCGGAAACTATTGTCCCAGAAACCGCATGCAATCAGAAAGCGGCTATCGACGGTTGTGACAAAGCAACTCGCACGTATTTTCAACTTTTGACTGAAATTATCACCCAAATGACGGCGCACAGCCGTATTGTTACCATTTGTTTGCACTGCAACGAAAATAAATGTAAAATTAGTTAACTTCTTCATGTTTTTATCGTGAGTGCACACTGCATAATTGACTCACAGAGAACCGGATCCATGGTGAGTGGTAGATTTGCATTTTGATTTTGATTCGATTCTGCGTAACTTGGTCCTTGTACTGCGCCCGTGTAATTACAATTCCAGCGATTAACAGCGAACTGATGGCCGGCGGTCACAGTAACAACACTTGGCAGAGGCAATTGTGGATAAGTGTTAGCAGATATGTGAATGATTGGTGAATTCAAGTGGAATTTCATCGCTGCAATCGGAAAAATATAAAAGTCGATCAAATAATTGCGAGAATTGATGACACGGAAATAGAAAAAAGAAGAAAATAACAATTCACTCACACATGCACACATCATCGGGCATTGCACTGAACATCATTGGTGACAAATGCATCGCTGAGCTTCTCGGCGGGTGCGGTTCCATCAAGAGCTATTTTATATGTTTCAGAACATTAGTATATTTCAATAGAATCTTTCGAAACTAATCTTACGAACAAATGGTAAAGTGGAAAGAAATGAAATGTATGATTTATAATTTCGAGATTGATGAGATTGGAAAAAGATTTGATTGATATTGGCAATTCCTCATATAAAATGGAAAATAGAAAAAATAAAAAATAAAAAACTCACCTGACTCGGCGTTTGACCAAAGTTACGAATTTGATTTTCAATTGCTTCTTTCATAACAATATCGGTTATTGTGTCTAACTCAACGCTTCCCTCGTATGTAAGATAATAAAAAACGTTTGTTGCTCGCACAGCTTCAGGTCCACGTTGTTTGTACCCGAATATCAAATCTATCCATTGATGTAATTGACACGAAACGAATTCAGATTCTAGTGCCATTCGATTGATACGTACAAATTCTTCTGGTGATTTTGCCCACGGAGGAAGCTCAACGTCATTGACAGTGACCCCATCTTCGCGTGTACCCAATCGATATGACGATGAATTATAGAACATTTCGGGTAAGAAATACCATTCAGGAACTAATTCTTTAACATCGGATGTATCGCGTTGGCAATTTTTCCATGCCAGTGTCACTGACGAGAATAGTCGGTCCGGATGATCAAATTTGCCACCTTGCAACGCTAGGAACATGGTTGTGAATGGTTCAATACGTATGAGCCAATTCAACACAAATGCAGCAGTTGAATAATGTGTTCCATAATGGAATGGTGGAATCGTGTCATTCTCCCAGCTCTCATAGCGCTCTTCGAAGTATTCTCTTCTGCTAGGATTCAATGCACCAATTGGTTTCGACAAATCACGATAATTGGATGGTTGACTAAGATCCAATTCTTTAGAATCGTAATTAGTAAGTACCCATGGGAATATTGGATATTGATTCAAATCGTTGTATGTACGACCAGCGATTGTGTTCAAAAACATTAAATATTCGAAATTAGAAATTTCACGTCTTTGCCATTTTTGCGTCATATTTGAGTTGCGCATCAATTGTCTGGGCGACATCATTGACGCACGTCGCGTTTGGGGAATACCATATTTAATGCCAACGCCGACACGTGGCAACGCTTTGATCACTTTTTTCACAGTGTGTTGATCGGGGAAGGCAAACAATATCGATGTACGTGATGCTAAAAATATTTCCAATGCAATATTTTGTAGCAAGTATCGGCGGGAAAATACAGCTCGAACTTCGGAAAAGTACCATTTCCCATGCAAATGATCACAATATTTGATCACTTCGGTGTCAATCTTTTGGAATTCTTCACAGTCTTCGTCCACCTCGAAATACATTTCGGTGCTTGTAATTGAAACGGTACCGCGGGCCACCAAACCTGGTGCGATTAACTTTGCTTTCGTACTAATATTCACCGGTCCGGTTAAGTCCAAATCGAGTTCACGGTCCTCAATGAGTAGCTCAGCATCATCAAGTAAATCACCATTGTGAGCTGTTGCATGTTGTGATCGTGTGTTTGCGATTTGTGAATGGAATTCTTCGCGTGCCTGCGATATGGCATCATCAGGAGCGCCATTTTCAAGAGCCGCTTTGAGTGCAGCTTGTGGATGTGTTGATCCTCTTGGGTTTTGTACCATTCTAAAAATAAAAATGTAAATTAATAATTAAAATTTAAAAGAAAATGCATTACGTTATACAGATTTTTTGAAATAACACCAATTTTACCTTCGTTTTCGGCGCGCATCATCTTCCCATGCGTCTAATTTCCAAAATATTTGCTTTGTCACCGTTCCACTAGTTTCACCCCATGCTCCATGCTTGTTACACATTATATTGCGGACTTTTTCCAACAACCGGCTCGCAATAACATTATCACGTCGGCGAGCAGCTGTAATCAAATGGTCACACATTCGTTCTTCCTCACGTCGCTCCAACAGAGTTTGAGCACATTGAGACTCGAATTCAGCATGCTTCAACACGTCATCGGCACGCATACGGTTCAATATAAATTCGGCTTCGTTTGCAACACGCACAATGTGATCTTTCATTGCATGGGATAACAAACGACCTTCGTTTATCAACTCAATAAATGCCAAACCAGCATGCTTTTGCAAGCTATTCTGCCATTCCTGCGAGCACAGCAGCATCACCAATTCAACGACGGATTGACTATTCTTGAATGTGGTGAGTCCTTTGCCTTCTAACAGTAACTCTTGGCCGTGGGATCCAACTAAAGTTTTCGATAAAAATGGTGCAAAGTCAACCATGATTTCACGCAACAACGGACACACCGGACCCAATGCTACTTCTAACTTTTGAGTTAGACTGGCTTCACGTGATGGTGTTGATAATGGCAACTGTCCAACAAGCGGTGGTTTGATTTGCATATCCTCCGGCCGATGTGAACGACTAGTATTCATGGTATAGCTATCAGGAACACGTACGACTGATATTTCTGAGTCGGGCTTTTCCCCTCGTTCTATTTTAAAATCGAAAAAATTAAGAAAACAAGTCTTTTTGTTTTCCAAATATAAGTTCAATAAACTTACGTAAATGATGAATGTTTCCTTCGATATCGCGAATTCGATCGCTACCATCCTCATTCAAATTAACATCTGTCCAGCTTTCATCATTCGAATTTGTTGGTTTGTTGTCATCGTTCATAATTTCACTAGATGTTTCGTGTACATCATTTTCCGTTGAGTTCATATTTAGGGAAGCACCATCGGAGTCCACACTCTACATTCAATAAATCAACATATCAATTCATTAAATCAATAATAAATATTAAATGGCCATAATTAATTTTAAATTTCTACAAAATTGCAATTAATTTCGTGCAAATACATAAAAACCTATTAAACTACGATTAAAAACCATATAAACATCTCATTTAGAATTTTCACGCATGCAAAAATGTTAAACCTTTTTATAATTGATTAAAAAGATGAATAGAGAAAAATCAGCAGTGGAATGCTTCGTATACTGATACATGTATTTGGTTGGAACTCGGTTGATCAAAGCGCTATCTAAAGAACCGATGGCGAATTCGTGATGTCTGTATGTTATACTTCAGTATGACGTTTGACAGAACGGAGAGTTTACTTGATTGTATTGTCATTAGCCTTAGATTATCTAGGTGGTGTTTGCGCTCAATATCAGTTGTCAAATTCAAAGTGAATAGGAGAGTTGAGAAAAATACGTAATATAACTATAGGTGAGGTTTCACTGACTTTGTTATGAAAGAGAATAGTAAGTTTCTTTCCACTTAAAAATGGTTGGAGGCGAGTATGTTCATTTTTGGTGGTTCGTCGCAGTTTTTCACGGTTTTCGTCGCTGAAAACAGTTAGTTGCCTTGAAAAAAAGGTATATATAAAATTTGCTTTTTTAAGTGCGCAATTTGCGCACAATTGATAAGAGATAACTTTCTTCAGAAAAGTAATAGAAGACCTTGAGTATTACAACTTTGCCCAAGAGACCAAGTGGCTATGTCTTATCACTTCCGCGAAAACTGTGAAAAACCGTGGCATGTAAATATACTCTACTTCAACGCCAACAGCACCATCAAAAAACATACTCGCCCTTTCGAAAATATAATTCGAAGAAAAAACATACACTATAGTGTATACTCTCAATGTCACCCATGTGGGTCAACTTCTTCTAATGGTTCAATAAAAATTAGCTAAAATTACTTTTTTTGTTTAGTACTGAAAAAGTTGGCCATATGTTGTGCAAATGCCGAAATAAATATTAAAAATACTATACTAAATGACGTGCAAATACAAAATCTGAAAATTTTGAAAATAAGTGTGTATTTTGTGCTTTGAAAAGTCAAAATGCACATAAACTTTAAGATACTTAGATTCGCCATTTATTTGGTTCTCTTTGTAAAACAGCACCAACTGTGCAAAAAACGAAAAAGCAGATCTTTTGGGCTGAGGCTTTTAATTGAAATGTGAACGTATTGTGGAATGTGGGTGCCAAGCAGTTTATTTGAATCACAATGTGTCAACACGTTGGGAAAAAACGAAACAAAAATCTATAGACATAATTGGATTTTGGCTTTTGTGATGTCTGAATATAGCGAATTTGTTTGTTTATTGTTGAATAAGCCAATTTACCTTTTTGGTCGTCGTATTCGCAGTAATATTTGCTGGCAATGGAGCGATTGGGAACGGTTTTGGTGGCGATAGTGGTTGAATATTTGTTGATGCGGGTACAACAAGTGTTGGAGATGACACTTGTTTCGTGATTGTTGCTGGCTGCTTTAGTTGTGATGTTTATTGTTTTCGATTAATTATGTTTTTTAATATAAAAAAAAAATCTTCAGCTTATACACTTAAAACAGTAGAAATTGGTTTCCTTTTTTAAGCGACAATACATGGTATACATAGAGGGGATGTGGTCTATTTCGTTATTAGTTACAGAATGTTCATTTAGGATGGGAGGAGAATATTCTCCTATGGGACATATGTCCCATATCGGGAACTGTTATAACAAAGTCTCATGTTGATACGAATGATTATAGTTCATTCACGTTAACTGTCAATAAGATTGAAATTACATTGTGAAATCGAGTAGGAGTTGAGTAAATGATTTTTTGCGTGTATGTGTCACAATAATTAAACATAACAATACATAGAAATAATGAGAATGATATTTCTCTCAAATAAAATTTCAATGTATGTGGTTTGGTTGCAATAAATTAAATGACATTTAATAATGTTTCAAAATTTTTAATGAACTTTAATTTATATTTGGGTCATGATGAGTATAATTTTTGTTTTGCTAATTATAAAAACTTGTTGATTCAACATTCATTTTTGGTTCGAATTTAAAATAAAAATGAAATATAATCCAATGATAACCCCATGCAATAACTGTCACCATTTAAAAAAAAATGAACAAGTTGAGAGATTGAATAAGAGATAGATTCACCCCATTAACAATACACATCAAGCAATATGAATGACTGAGTTAAATTAGTGTCGTTTATAACACCATTACCAATTCTATAAAATAATTTCTACAGATACATATTCCAAGCACATGCACAACCGATATGCATCATGGGATGTCAACAGACATCTTGAAAGTTTGATTGAAATGTTTTCTTATCAAAAATATACATATATATTGTGAATGAACAATTGAACATGCATATTGTTTCAATCCCATTCCCATAATTATGTATTCAAAAAGTTGAATGAAAACCATTCAGTCTATGTAACAATAAATGACATACCTTAATTGATGGTGGTCCACTTGAATGTGAATCGTCTGCCAGAACCGATGAATTGTTTTCATCAACGACAATTACCTCGTAGTCACCATCTTGGATATTTCTCTGCCCTATAAATGATAATTAATATCAAAACGATTACATTATTTCATATTATATGTGGTTGGGGTGCGCCTCTCAATCCATTCCAATGCCAACGATACCAATTCAAAAATATTCACATTTACTTTGTCGACTGTCACATTAAATGAAGAGAAAAAAAGTAGATGAAACTAAGTGAAATTACTTAGAACAACCATTCAAATCCCTTGAAAAGCATATTTTGCTGTCAAATTTAGCACCATTTTCAATTTGTTTGAATTGAATATTTAAAAACCGATCATTTGCAACCTTTCAAGGAAATGAATTGAAACTAATATATAATTAGTGAAGCGAAATAAACTCTACACAATCAACTGATACATATATATATAAAGATATATCAAGATATAGAAAGTGCATTGAAATTTGATACTCTTTTTCAAATCAGTATATGTGTGCCGTTTAGCTGTAATCTTTTTTTTTTTTCAGAAAGAAAATAGTTCCAACCATTTCTCAAAATTATGACAAAACAGTTGGCGGCAAGGGTGATAACAGCACATTTGTGTGGTTTGAATAAAGATAAAGTTTTTAGAAAATGGTACATCAAGGATACTGAGAGGTAGAGAGAGATTGGGAGAGAAAGACAATTAGACAGAAAGGATTTAGTAAAAAGCAATTTGAAGGAAAAAAAACCAAATGATTGTGACGGAAAAGAAGAATAGAGCTATGGCTAATGCAAAATTCGCGACGACGCTTTTGTCCATACGCACAAATACCTGAATCAGTCCTAAATTGATAATCGTTATTATTGAGTGCAATGTTTTTATGTGACGTATTGTTATTATTGCGGTTTCGAATATGAGACGATGCGGCACCATTCACATGTGAATGATTTCGATGATGTATCGGCTGCTGCTGTTGTTGCTGATGATGGCTATTATTCTGAAGATGCAACGGATAATGGTAGTGATTATGCAAATGATGGTTAGGTTGTGCTTTTGAGGAATTGAGAACAGTTTGTGACAGATTTGTTGTAGACGTTGGAGTTGTCGTTGGAGTGGAGGGCGTCGAAATACGTGGCATATTTGGATTATTACTGTGATTATGATGAATATTTGTCGCATTTTGATAGTTTGGATGTGAACCCGGTAAAAATTGTGGATACACATGATGTGACCATTGCGGAAATAGTGGTCTTGCCGATGTTTCTACATTAGTTCAGTTGATCGATTTGAATTGGTATCGAATCGAAAACAAGATGAAGATTATCATCGATGGTGAACATTAGTTAGGTTACATTTAGTAATTTGGTAGTTGTTTCGAATGGGTTATTGTTAGTTATAAATAGAGTTACGAGCAATTTGGTTTCAGTCCAATTTAAGCAGCGTGTAAAAAAAAGAAAGATAACAATAGAGAGGGCTATGAATACATTGAGCGGTACGAATAACAAGGGGATTATATGTAGCTATGAAGCCAATATTACAATTTTTTGGCTACACTTTTTGATGAAAACACTGAGCTACGAATAGCAGAATGAGCAGAATATAATTCCAAATAGAGAAAACAAAAGAGAGAAAATCGAAATCTTACCTTGATTCTGTGGGATGCGTTGTGCTACAGGTGATGCACGTACGGACGTCTCAGCAGGTGGCTCCAGTATATCACGATATTTGGACACCATCAACACCGATATGAAGTAGACTATGGCCAGCGACAAAAATTGTGCTTGCTTCGTCTCATCCTGGAACATTCGTTTCTTATGAAGAACATATACAGACACAACAACAATTCTTAATTTACACCGTGAAAAATTCCATTTTGATGAATTTGATTTGCATTTTCAATAAATCGATTCAGGGATCAATCTTTCTTTTTTTTTTTCTTTAATTCAAACCTCTATAATTCCATTAATTTTTCTTGGGAAACTGAACATTGTAAATGGAATGATTTGTGTTATGTATTGATTATGAGTGTGGAAATGGAATGATGTGTTCGCGGTGTTTGTTTGAGTTTTGGGTTTGTTTGCTTACCACATCACGATAGACAACGGCACGTAATCGATTCACGTCCATGTCTTGTAGGAGTTTCTCCACATCCTTGACGGGACTCAGCGGGCCCGTGATTGATTCAACAATATTCTGAAAACATTTTTATTTTTGGTTATTTAACACATTTTCGGTGTACAAATAGAATTTGATGGATGTTACCTTTGGAGATGCTTGAGCTCCGCGAATCAGGGCTTGCAAATGGGCTGCCCCTGGAACATCGCGTGGCAGTCCACCATTTGAATACCGCGTTCGTTCTTTGCATTCAAGACAATTTCGAACGGCACAAGTACATACTAAACGCAAACATTGCCGCAAGATACCTCCACTCGACATATTCTTCTCAGCTTCTAATTCGCTGAAATTCAGTGAGCTGGCAAAGATCAAAACCTACGAAAGAAAAAAAAATCACTTTTAATAAATAGAATGAATTTTAAAAATGTACACATCGAAATATGGAATATACAAAGTAGTAACCGATGACACTTATACGCGAGATATGTACACCTGTTAGCGCCCTCTCTAGCAACACAACTCAACTATTAGTGCTAGGTATTATTGGTCAGATGTCAATTGTTTGGTCAGATGTCAATTATTAACATCAGGCACTACTTTTTAAATGTCAAATTTAAGTGTGTATTGTTATTACTTACATCAGCCATATTGACAAGACGTTGCAAGAATGAAACGGCTACTTCCAGTGGCATTCCCTGTGTGGGTTCATAATAATAATAATGCAAAGAGTTTATTGAGTTAATGAGATTAGTTTTAAGAGTTTTTTTTAATTACCTGCGTCGGCTCAATACAATCCAATTCATTCTGAAAATTTAAAATGTCAATTATTATTTCTTAACATAATTTTATCTTATTTCCTCTAATAAATCCGTTTATTGACACATTCGAGAAGCGGTCCGTAGGAAGATCATGATTCATTATATACATTATTATTAAAAATAAATGACATATCTTTGCACAAGATGACCAATGACCATACGCATGGGAAAAATGGATTCATAACTGAAACAGTTGATCCACTCTTTCTTTCTCTCTTCCAATGTACAATGCATTAGTGAAAAATCGTTGAAAAATTTATGTTTATGAATGTGACAATAAAATGACAATTCTCTTTTCTAAATTGGCTGGTGTGAGATATTTTGTGTATTTCCAATTTGAGGCTTGTTGGATACTGTTTACCAAATCTCGATGTTTTGTATTGAAATGTACCTTGGCATTGTCGTAAGATTGATTTCTATGTAAACATTCGCACTCGCATTTGTATAGCAGTCGTATTTCGCTGTTCGAACGTTCTCACGAATGCGAGTGCGAATGTTCACATAGAAATCATACGGCAGCGTTGCGAATGCGTGCACAAACACGAATGAACGAATGAAGCTAGGGGAATTTATCATTCAAAAATTCATGAATTCCGGTGTGTTTTGAGCTATGTTCAGAATATCCACTCATATTCACAGATATTCAGTCTTTCTCATTTGACAGTTCAGGCGTTCTCATAAGCCGCCATCTTGAATTCGTCGCCATCTTGAATTCGTCGCCATCTTGAATTCGTCGCCATCTTGAATTCGTCGCCATCTTGAAAATTTTATTCAAACTATTCACAAAATTCACAACATTCACATATAATCGAAATTTTGACAATGATTCAATGAGAAAAATATCCACAATATTCACAAATATTCACATTTCCCAAGCCTTGAATGAAACCCCTAGGAATGAACGAATGAACGAATGAATTATGTAGTCACAAGTTGCCGCATTCGTTGCATTCGCAAATATTCGAATTTTTGTTCTGAAATGCGAATGCATTCGCAAGAAAGGTAACGTTTCGTTGAAATCTAAGAAGCGACTAAAGTGAAATGTGGAATGTTATGCTAAACAATATTTGCAAGATATCTGTGTTCACTTTGAATTCATTATAGCAATATGTTTAGTCTTACAATTCATTCAATTATATAATAAATTATTCGATGTTTTTAATAAAAATGATGTATATAATGAATCATGATTTTACTACGGACCGCTTCTTGAGTTGTACCTATAAAATGATTATATTAGTGTATAAACGAAAAATTGTTATAATCGCTGAAGCACATCTAATTTAGACTGTATGAACGAATATTGTGAAATCGATTAGCATACGATATGTATTATTTCAAGTAAATAATAAACTTACGTTCGGTGATGTTGCACTTGCCAATAACGGTAATAGTCCTGAAACATTGATTGAAATAAGATAAAAGTATTTTAGAAATCTTTTGAAATCGCAAAAGGAGGATATCACAGTGATGTAATCATCATTGCAATGTTGATATAAACATATAATATGATTACGAAAATATAAGTATGTAAAATTTGAACACAAAAATTGTGTACTAACCACCGCAGGCAATTATCAAATTATCAGCCAATTGGGATATTAAATGGACAGTGTTTACAACAAAAATTGCATTCTCGCTTGAATTAACAAAATCCAAGACGGTCTTTGTTGAATGACTTCTCCAAACCTGTAATTGATGTTTTAAATTCAATTAAACATTGAAGAAGTTGTATCTTGTGCTCGTATACATACTTGTATGTCAGTTTCCAGTGAAAAGAGAACGTCTGATAAGAGTCGCTGGTGAATGTAAGACCATTTAAACTCTGGTATCCGGAATGGTGGTCGGGATGGTCCTGGACTGAACATCGGTCGATTGGAAGATGATTTGGATCGGTTTTGTCTTTGGTCTATAGATTCGAATCAAAACGTTAGCAATACATAAATAATAATAAAAAAAAAAGTTTTTGCTCAATGGAGTATGCTAAATTACCGAAATGATTGTTTTCAACTTGTGTGCTGGTGCTAATCGATGTACCTTGGGATCGGTTTGGTTTGATGTTTCGATTCTCGTTCGTTTGGTTTGTGTCGTCATCATCGTCATTGTCTGCTACCTCTGCAGTGGCAGATGTAAATTTGGCATTGTCTTCGGTAGTTGGCTGTTCGCCATCGGGCGATTCACTCATTGTGTCGGCGATAAACGCTTCACTTCTTGCATTATTTGGCATCGTATCTTCTTCGCTATTGTTGTTGTTGTTATTGTTATCGTTGTCGGTCGCTGCGTTCGTTTCGCTTTCTACACATTTATCGACGATTTCATTTACAATACCTTTAATTATATCTTCATTTGTTTCATCATCGATTGGGAACGATTCACTTGTGGGTGCATTCAAGGTGCCAACGATTTCGGTCATTTGTGTGATTGTGTCGACAATTATGGCATTATCGTTGCTATCATTTGTGGCTACGTCCGAACTATTATTATTGATGTTATCAATTATGGACATTTTATTCATTTCATTATCACATACGTCGCCAATATCGGTGGCTGTTTGATTTGTTTGATTTACGCAATTCTCAATCACATCGTTCACAATAGTCGTGACGATGTCTTTGATTTCCTCCGAATTTGGGACTACAGTCGTTTTCTCTGGAACTCTATCGATTTCAACGTTATCGCTCGAAATATCCTTGTCGTTGATTGCTACATTCGATAGCAATATTTCAGCCTTTTGATTTTCGTTTTGTACGCCGGACGATACATTGTTCGGTGAAATCGTTGACCTCTGAACATTCAGTTGTTCTCGATTTATTTTCAAACCCATTTCAATGGCCGACAAATCCGAATCATTTTCACTGTCACGTTTCACCTTACGCTCAATATTTCGTACACCTTTTACCACTTCGCTAACTGCGTGCTCGATTTCCTCATCTTTAATGACTGGTGATGACGTGGTTTCCGTTTCTTCTAAATGTTGATGGTTTTCATCCAATGACCGTTTACAATCGTCCAGCAAAGTTTCGCTTTTTGTCAATATCTCTTCAACAATCTCGTCCACAATTTCTTTATTGTCTTCGTTTATGTCATAGCTATCCATTTCAAGTGTTTTGCGCAATGCAGCTGATCCGGATGTACTTCCATCATCAAAATCACCACCATCACCACTAGCGTTCACCGGTTTCGTCGGCGTACAATGAGTGGCGTCATCATCAAATGCGTGCTCCGAATCTCCATTAAAAACAATCGATTTTCCCGTCAACTGCTCATTATACACTTGTGAAATACTTGAAATTGATTGCACTGGTTTGTTTGATTCAGTGGAATTCAGAATTTGAGCCGATGGCTCTTTGGCTGTGTCAACGTTATTTGATAGGTTTGCCTCGTCTTGGTTCGCATTCTCCTCACATATGCACTTGACATTTTCCAAACCAACCACATTTTCATCATCGGTTTGTTCACTCTTACTGACTTTATACGATCTCTCTGGCTGTGTTTCATTCGTTTGGGTGCTAGTAATTGCTTTTTCATTCAACGCTTGACCATTTTTCACTGAGCTCTCGGTTGATTGGTCGTGATCACGATCCCAACCGCTTATCGTACTGATTGGATGCGCTCTCCGTAATGCTGGGTCGGTTATATTGTCTGTCCTATGTCTCTCATAATGCTCATACATTTGAGCAAATTGCAACTTGAACTCCTCATAGGAAACCTATTTAAAAGAGAAAAAAGACATATGAAGACATGAATCCATGTATACCGTTTCATGAATGGCAATACGAGGCAGTAGGAATGCAAATACAAATATGTTGTATGAAAAAGGTCTTCATCAAATATGACGATGTTAGAAATATGACAAATGTGAGCTTCATATATACTCTGCCCATATATTACTTAATCATAATACGCATCAAAATTAGAGAAATATTTCGACATTTCAAAAGCATTTCCAAAGAGTTGGGATAGCAAAAATGATAAAACTGTGCTGAAACCATCAATAAAAAAAAAGAGTTGCATACTCACTTTTGAATGAACGATGGCCAGTGTATCGACCCATACTCTCCAACCGCCGTATTCGTGTTTGATTGCGTGATGTAAAAGCATCCTTCGTTTTGCAAATGTGAAACATAAAACATTCATTAGTGTGCGATTAACCGTAATCAAGAAAAGTGACATGTGACAAAATTATCGATCAAAAACAAATTTGTGTAAACCCGCGATGCAAAATATTCCTAATAATGATAACAATTTTAACAACCACTAAATTTGCTTAGAAAAAGTTCCAAGTGAAATATATACATGAATATCTGAAAAAATGAATCTGTAATTCGAATTTCCGTCAACGTACCTGAACAACGAGTAAACCATATCAGATATTTTTTGCTCCTCACTATTCTTGGGATGAATGTAAGCCATAGCGATAAGCCATTCCTGCCACACAGACATTTGCAGCACAGTGCGTCGGTTTTCACGATTGTTGTTGCACAACAGCGTCATATCGGATAAGAATAGTTTTTTTACTTCAAGCAACTGCTCGGTTTGTTTTGATTGTCGAATTAATGTGGCGACTACTTTCAGGATCACTGATGATGGGAGAGATGGGAAAAATTAAATTAATTAGTTCCCTTGAAGTATTGTGGTATGAGATCTATCGTCTCGTCTTTACAGAACAACAGCAACGACTTTGTATGAATACGTATGAAAATACTAGTGAAACGTACTTGGATTTTCCAATCGGAAATGACTTTCTGGCTCTGGATGTCTTGTGTACAAAACTTGCTGCGAGATGTGCTCCGTCATAATTTCATAAATGACATTATATGTGGGCAATGACAGTGACTCTTCGTACAGTAGCAACCGTTCTGCCAAAAGAGTGTACAAATTATGCGGCGACATCACATCATATTTCCTCCTATTTACCCGTCCACCACGTCATAGTTAAGCAAGAGAGATTGATAATAGTACAGGAAGTTAATTTGATAAATGCAGAAAGTGAGTACTTAATTAAAGCGAATGATAGCTCTTCAGTCATTCGTCATATATACTTAATCATTTAATTGTGGTTTTACAAACTTATTATGTTTCCCTTTTTACAACATAGCGAAAATCCTATCGTTTTTTTTTTGTTTCGTACATTATGAAAACTAAATTACTTACTTATGTGTGCTACGTGACAAGAAAAATCCTAGTAATTTTAACGCTTGCAATCGTATTAATTGACTTTCGGCCGCTAGCAATTTGAAAATAGATCGAACGCCCTGTTTCACATCGAAGGCTGGTACCATAGAACTCGGATGCTCTGACATCAATGAAATTAGCATTTGTAAAACGTCGTGTAGGTTTTCGTCTTCATGCATTGTGGTCAAGTAATTTAAAATGCTTTGCAATTCATCCTCTTTCACTCCATTACCAATCATAATCAGTTGCTTGAGAAAGAGCAAAATGTACGCTCTAATAGTGAGGATATCTTTTTGTGCTGGACGTGGACCATCTAATTTTGTTTTAAATAAGAAAGAAGATTTCAGTGTTTTTTTTCTCCGTTGCCAGACCAAGCAGAATGAACAAAGTGAAAATATAAATTTACCTAATCCCTTTGGTACGATACCACTTTTTGCTCGTGGATTCACAACCCAATAGTAAAATTTTAGCGTGTGGATCGTTTGGAGAACAGTGCTGACGCGTCGCACATTGCTGTATATTTGTGTGTCACTCAGAAATTCGGTGGCCAAATATGAATAGAGACGTGCTTGCACATTGGCCGGCGTATAGATCCACAGTGATGGATTAAATAGCACATGATCCAGCAGCTGCCATGTTAGAAATGAAAAACAGAAAAGCTACTCTTAGACGTGTATATACTGTTCTGCTACAAGCCATCGTTAAAAAGGCATGCAGCAAGAACAACAACCAAGCAAAACGATAAACTTTGGATTTTTTCCGTCATTCTCAAAAATCCCAATCAAAGCCAACTCATGAGAAGAAGAAAAGAACAAATCACGATGGAAACACCCAACAGCTACCATCGGACAGAGAAAAAACTAAAATTAAGAATCAGGAAAATTGGAAAGATAACCGAAAAGAGTCGTTGAAAAAAATAATAAAAAATCGAAATGATCCAGGTGAGGTGTGCTGAGAGTTGAGAACTGAACCAAAGATTTTCAAACTTATAAATTGAACTGAAGTAACGAAGAAATTAAAGAGAATCTATCAATTGTTGCAATTTGCGCCATTCCAAATCATAACGAAAATTAATTAGAAATTATGAATTTTTCCTGATATTTTTTATATAAAATTAGAACCGAATGAATCAAACAAAAACTGTTCGCTATAGCATAAAATTCAAATATATCCTGAAAAGATAACGATAAAGGCCAATTACTTGTAAGTTATCCGTTTTCGGAAAATAAACAAATTTGACAAGCATGCAGTCACAATAGCCAAACGTAAAAATATCCGTCAAAACATTCATATAATATGATCAAATTTAAATTTTGTAACTAAGATATAATGCCAATAGGTAAGTTTCACGGAAAAGATTAATTCATCGAATGGTATTGTGTATATCGAAAGAGTTGGATTCAATTGAAATGAAAGGTTGAACGATTGAAAGAAACCATTCAGTTTGAAACGATAGCCACAAAATACACAATTTACAATCCACTCGATGTACCAAACTTTTTACTTTCATTATGTATTTGGTTATATGTTTTTTTTTTCACTGGAACAAAAAAAAAACGAGAAATAAATTCAAAAGCTAACTGCGAACTTATTTTCCCGTAATATACGGAGAAGAATATTTAAACTAGGAGAAAGAAAATAAAACAAAAATATTTCGTGCACAAAATGTTTCAATGAAACGAATAACATTTCAGCATATATAGAATGTAGATAAATAGAGGTCGAGATAAAGATAGATAGAGATAGGTAGCACTTTTAAAAACAACCATAAACTGAACACCAAACGGAAACAAACAAAAATATTAACACGTCGAGACGAACATAACATAACACATGGAACATGTATAAACTCAGCTTCTATTTAAATTTTATATATTTCACTCTTCATATACGCGTATGTGTAACTTTTGGTTCGTATTGAAAACTTTTTTCGTGGGTAGCAAATGGGCATTGACGAAATTGAATTTTGTGTTTGGATTCTCATAAATAATTCTGAACATAAGAATGCAGATAAATAAATTCTCCATAGAATTGGAACACACGAGGCGAAAAAAATGAATTGGACTTAGCGAACGTTGTCTGATTGTTGGCGTATGATTTGAAATTTTCTTTGACCTGACTATTGTTACGAAGGATTAGACATCTGACGTGGAGATGACATGTAAAGAAATCGAAAATATGTATTATTTTGATACATTCAGTCGACAGTGAAGCAAAATGTAAACAACGTTTTTTGAAATAAATTTTCAAGCTTCAGTATTTTCCACCGAATTGTTTGGAATTCAATGAATTTATAGCACAAGACAGTCAGTGTGTGTGTGTGTGTGTGTGTGTGTATATATGTGTGGGTGTTTTTGAGAGAGCGACTAAGTGATGAGATTAACTCCATAAAAAGTAAATGGTGAAGAAAATGCGCAAACATCATTTGAATATTGCCCGCGTCGAACTTTTCATGATTGGCTCTTTCGCTGTTCGGTTCGGGTCGACTGATTATTTTATGTGTGTTTTGTAAACATCTTCAAAAATGGAATGGCACATGCGAACGCGTGAACAGCGGGCGGGAACAACGATGAATGGATAACAATGTTAGGCTAGTGAAAAAAGAAAATTGCACCATTTCTAAGGCAATAGCCATAGAGAAGTAGAAGATTTTCACTGTTGAGTAGTGGTGTGAGTTGGGGCGCGTAATTCAATCCATGGCACATTGGATAAATCTATAGCATATAGATACATATACACAGTCACAATCCATTCTGGTTCATGGAGATTGTGAGCATAAAAATGCCATGGTGTATTTGTTTTTGTTTATTGACGCATTTCGAATTAAAAGCTACATCCCAACAGTTTACTCATCCGCACAATGCTTTTATCGAATCGAAAAGCGGAATAAAACGATTACAGAAATGGTGTGCTGCGATACCGTAACAACGCACACAACAGATGATAATAGTACCATTGGGTTGCTGCTACACTTGAAAATCACAGAAATGGCTGTATGGTTGGGATGTGTGCGTTGTGTGTGCTCAGTCGTACGTCACACTGAATTTGATAATTTGTGAAAATTCCTTAACGAGAATGTCAATGTTTCCATTTCGATGCGTCCCCGATTTTAGTTCAATTAAGATTCTTGTTTGTTCAACATTTTTTACTTACTTGTTTTAGCAATAAATCGCTATTGGCCGACAAACAGGTCACCAAATATTTCGTTAGGCTTAAGAATGAGCTAAGCACTTCGAGTGTTAGGTGTTCGCGAGATGATCTTTGTAACATGAACGATATCACAAGGAATCCACGATTCTATAACAAACAGATTCGAATATTACAAATGAGTTTCACTCATTTAATTTGTTTATTGTGAATAATTTTTTTTTTACCTGGATCATATGCTGCTGTACGGTTTGTGAACTTTCAACCAATTCACATATAAAGCCTAGTAGTTTAGAGCTGAATTGTCGAAATGAATTGCAGAATGAAGACAAAAACGATGGAATTGGGGTTGAATTTCAGGTGTGATAATACCCGTGTGACGTATACATAGCCATGTGTAAGATAAAGATGAAGGCAAAAAACATCGGGCCATAACAAAGAAAACGGCAACAAGAAACAAAGGGAAGAAAGATATAAATGGATCAGTTGAAATGAAAATCACATTACGAAGTATTATTTTGGATTTATGTATCAATTTACCATAATGCTGGATCTCGTTTGATATCACTACAACCATCATATGGCATATCCAGTTGTGAAAATAATGGAAAAAGGACTTGTATCCCACCGATTGAATTTAAAGTACAATGAATTGAATGTGTTACGATAGCCTTAACGTCCTGTAGAGAAAGAGAGAAGAAAAGAAGAAGAAGAAAATAAATAGAATGAAAAAAATTTCTTTTACATACACTCTTCCACCGTGATGGAAGCAGAAGCATTGCTCAGCAAACGTAGAAAAAATCAAGCAATCTCGAGTTAAATTTCATGAGCTGTTGGGCAGGCGCCCCTTGAAGGCGAATGAGCAATGGTCTGAGCTCAGTGTGCCCACAAATAAGCACAAGAACGAGACGAATAATGAAGGAAAGTGAATCAAGACCGATTCGAATAAATATAAAATAGAATGTTGAAACAGCGATGTCAGATGTGAGTAACTGCCGCATGTGTGTTGTTAGGTTTAGGGTAAATGCGTTTATAGACCATATGGAATGATGTAAATGTTCACGTTATACAAGTAAATGAGACTGTATTAAATGTAGATGCAAAAATCAATTTCCCTCTCTTATTTTGATTGGATTGCGACCGATGAGAACACAATACATACACTCTTTCAAATCTGAAACTGTATATTCAATGCCATTCCATTTCTTATGCTTTCGAATTTCGCATACACATGCAAACCTAAATCTCCTCTTGCCTCAAAATGTTTGCTCGAATAGAAAAGTAATTAAATTTTTTGTCCGCGATGGCAATTAATTGTAATATTAAGAACTAAGGGGATTTATCTCTCGCGAATGCTGCGAATGCATTCGCATTTCAGAACAAAAATTCGAATGTTTGCGAATGCGACGAATGCGGCCATGACAGCGAACTTGTGACTACATAATTCACTCGTTCATTCGTGTTTGGGCATGCATTCGCAACGCTGCCGTATGATTTCTATGTGAACATTCGCACTCGCATTCGTGAGAACGGTCGAGAACAGCGAAATACGACTGCTATAACGAATGCGAGTGCGAATGTTCACATAGAAATCATATGGTAGCGCTGCGAATGCATAGCACTGAGCGCGAATTTGTGAATAAAAATTCGAATGCCAAACCGACATAGAAGCCCCTAGATTAAGAATAATCAAAAAGTCTTCGATGCATAAATCTGGATCATCCAAACGATGTCACCTGACAAAACAATGACATTTGATACAAATTGGAATGAATTTTACGCAGATTTTCTTTGACATACTCCAAAGCAATCATTTGCAAGCAGTATTAAACTAATTACGTTGATGCAGATAATTGCCCGGTGGATATTATTAATAATATGATGGATTGAGCTGAACTTTTATCTGTACGCGCTTACACGTGTACACTTCGAAGGGCGTGTTCACTACATTGTTGGCATAAGAGACGTAGGGTGAATGATGACTTGTTGTGTATCTTATCCTGTTAAATTATACTGTCATAGAAAATGCAATAGCTTACGCATTTATCCATTTTCAACGTACAACTATGTTTGAGTGTGGCTGATCTAAACAACATATTAAATACGCGTTGGAATAAAAATGGAATTTTGTCTCTTTTTTCATTTTCTTGAGTATGAAGATAATAAATGATCTTAATTAATTAAACGTAACTCAACATCAAACACTTTGTCATTATGAACATCAACTAAAGGTTGACACCTCCACATTACGTGCGCACACGTGAAAAATGAGCTTTTTGTACCAAAGCATTGGCATGGTTGGCTTTTTTCTCATCATCATTCTATCTTTTTCATGCTATGAGAATGAGCAAGAGCATAGCAATCTGATACCTTTCCATCTGTATATTCAAGTGAGGATCACAGTGGAGCTAACAAAGATACTGTTTGTCGCAACAAAAAGCAGATTGACAAATGTCAAAGACTGAACGAGCAGTAAGCAAACAAGAGGCATTGCTCGTTAAAAAAGCAATCAATCAAAAAAACACCTTACCTGTAACATCAAAGCATGTGGCGTATGCACGAAATATGAAACGTTTCCTTTTGGAGCGGACTGTAAACACAACTGGCCGTCGGTTGCCACTGGATTGTACATGAATACAATTGCGTTTGATAGCTTCCCATCATAAAGAACCTGAATGTTTGTTTTTTTTTGAGTTTTTGCCATCAGTAAACGATATTGTTAACATCCGGGAAAAAAAGAAGACAAGAGCAAAATAAAAGGATAATGAAATCATTTTATGCTTATAAAATTGTAATAAATCATTTTCAGCTTCATATATGCTTTTCCAATTTATTTAATCAATTTCGATTCCCATTTTGCGTTGCCATTTTATTAACCAGTTTAGACATCTTGAAATATCAAACCATTTTTTGTACTTTTATTTCATTCACAAAAGTCCCTATAGATCAAATCAAACAAGTGAAAGGTGTCATAGTGCAGAAAAAAAGAGGAAAAACTTGAGTAACATGCATTCCATTTGGAGTTGGAGAGTATTAAGTTTTTTTTTTTCATGTCATGAACGAGTTTTTTTTGTCTCATCAAAAGTCACATTTTTTCTTATTTTTCATTACATAAAGTAACATCAACGAACAGAACAGTCATGCTTTGGAATACTTCAGTTGAAAAAGGAGACTTGTACATAGTATTGTTGTATGATGTCGCATGCTTGACAATCAAATTACGTAAATGATGCTTCTAAAAAATTACTACGGAAACTATTTTACTCAAAGAATCCACCGTTTTTTTGTGTTCCATAGCTCAACTACTTGGTACTTAGTCTTTAGCTGTGTTGTATGAAAGCAGGTCAAATGTCTTACTAATTGGTCAGGGACAGGGCTCATTCAGGATATACTCAGGTGAAATGAGGTAGAAAATAATTTCCAAACATAAAACCATGAATAATTCATCAATGTGCAGTTGTGCACAAATGCAAATGCTTCCTTTACACAATAAAATTTATATCGATGGATGTAACACATTTCATGCAGAAGGCAATTACCGTAAATCATTCAACTGAAGTATATAAAACTGAACGACAACAACAACAAAGATTATTGAAAAAATGGAGTAAAAATAAAGAGTTCATTTTTTAAACCAATTGAAAAAATGATGGAATACCTATGATCAAAATACTCAGAAGTCTTGAAATGTTGGGTCAACATAAAATGTTAATGTCAAAAGTGCCCCACTTCTTGGTGTACATAAATTGTGTGTAGCGACCAATGCATATTATATACATAGCGTTAGTGTGGTTGTAATACACAAGAGAAAACTTAGCATCGTATGAGTTGCAATTGGTGTGAAACTTTAGGCAATGTCGCTTAAAAGTAAATATGTGTGTGTACAGGGGCATTCGGCCATATGGGTTTGATATTAACACTTTTTTCTGATTTATTGCCCAATAATATATGAATTGAAAATTTCGTGCTACTGGAAATGCACATAATCGATAGCAAAAATAAATCGAGAATGAAGCCAAACATTGCCCCGTGAAAAAAAAAAACTATCAATCTACATACAAAAAATCCCTTCAACTGAATACAAAAAGTATTAAAATATTATGCAAATTAAAAGCCAAATAAACAAAGGTAAAATAAAGTACGAAAAATAGATGAACACAAAAAAGTCGAAATCGAAATCAATAAAATAAACTTATTACATAATGGAAAAAAATAAACAAAAGCATCCGGAAAAATAACTGAAAATACTGAAGGAAAATGAATAATAAATAAATAAAATAAAAGCATGCTTACTGATGCAAAATTATGTTCATCAATAACAGATTGATTGGCATTAAGGCTACTGTTTGGGATGGTTGCCACACCGGTGTCCGTTGTTGGTATGGCAGCAATATTTGGCAAAAATGCATTAAGTGCGGCAATTGATGATAAATCAATGGTATTATCGATCACATCGCCAGCAATAGACGTTGAACATGATGCAGTTGAAGTTATTGGATCATCGCTAGATGCTGTTGCAACACTCACCCTTTTATGATTGTCCGGTAAATTAAGGTAGCACTCGTTGTCGAATCGAAATTGGGACTAGCATATTTGTGTGTGTGTGTGTGTGTATCATTTTTTCCAAATTTCAAAGTTCGGTTAACATCGTTATTACGTGTCGGTTTTATTTGGTGCGTTGTGCGTGCGAATATGTATTTATTGTCAATTTGGATGGCGGTCGTTTCATTGCATTGTTTTTCATATTCATTGTGTGTTTCATTTTTGTTCAGTGATTTTTTTTATTCAATGATGTGCATCAATATTTTGATATTTATTTGGTCAGTTGAAAAAATGAATATTATTTAAATTGCATAGATTTTTTTATAAGTTCGTTTTGGTGCAGCGCAAATAGTGAGAATTCGTGTGTGTTTTTTTTAACCGAAGAAAAAAAAAAGAAAAAAATGTTTTTTTAAAATAATGAATTGATTGGTCATTTGTATTTGTTTTCTTTGAATAAATATTGCGTTCAGTTAAATTCGTTTTTAAATTGGGTGCCTTCATCAAATTTATTGTTGTAAATAGTTCTGTGAACAACAAAATGTTCCGGCATGATTTAAAAAGAGCTTCAAACATTAACGCAATATGAAATTGCGCTAAGAATTTTTGGAGTTGAAACAAACAACACTCTTCTACTGCTGTCCATTTATCATTTCGTGTTTCTTCAATTACCTTGTAACCAGGACCTAATCGATGCATTGCACAAATCTGTTGTGTTGTTAATGCTTCGCTGAACAAATAAATTGCTGCCATTTGACCGCAAAATACGCGCTCTTCATCCAGTTCGGGTGTTGCACCAATATAACATTTATCAAATGGCTGTGAATTATTAACACGTTAAATAATCAATTAATTGAATCAACACATCAAAATCAAGTTAAATGTCAATTTTTTGCATACACTAAAATATCGATTCAGCGTACGCAAAACAATATCTTTACTCATCGAATGAGACGCAGCGAGCCATACAAATGAAATGAAGCAAAGCAAAAGAGAATCGCAAATCTCCAATAACATATATATATAATCCGTTAAAATATAAACACGAACACAATGGTTCATTTTGTTTTCATTTTTAAGTCTAATGGCGAAGTGTATGCCCGCTGTAACGTTCCTTCATTTGGCGATGCGCGCTTCTCTTCCGCTTTGCTCCATCTCATCCGAATGCGGAGCCACGACTCACTCACTCGATACGTACACTGCATTGATTTTAATTCTTCGGAAATTTCTGGAAACGAATATTATTATTCTACTCATTTTTTATACAATTTATTTACTTAGATTGAAAGAACTTCAATGTTAGTACTATCTAAAGTATTTCCTTGTTTCGAAACTTTTGATTCGAAAGTCATGAGAGCGGTGAATTTTTGAATTGAAGATGCTGTGCCATTTTAATAAGTGCAGTAAACTATTAATTATGTTGAAAGAGGGTCGGGTCAGCTTGGCTTATTAAAACTATCGTAATTCTGTAACGGTGTACAATATAATTGAATATCCATGTAAAAGTGGAGAAAACAAATTTCTTTTGATGGCTACTACAATTTTCATGCCATTGAATTGTGCGTTCAACGATGTAAATATACGTCCCTCACATCTAATGAAACGAGCATTCGAACCATTTATCATGTGAAATGCGGAGATGAATAAAGAGAATAGCGGAAAAAGGAAGAGGACGGTTCAATTATAAAAAGCACAGTTGTCTTATGCTTTGAGTCAAAGCTCACAAAGTTTTGCGTCAGTAATTACGCACGCTCTCACTTCTACTTGATGCTAAATGTGAAATGAATCATTTTATTGCACAATCATACTTACATCATTAGCCGAAACGAACCACGCCATTTCCGTACTTGATGCTAATTGACCATTAACGAGGCACTTTATTTCACTTTTAGTCCATCGATTGTATATATAAACAATGGCTATCATATACCACTTTTGGAAGGAAATAAAACGTAAAGAAGAGGAAAAAAAGAGTGAATGAAACGAGAACAAAAAATAACGATTAATAACATAGACATATGCTAAGGATAATGATTTCAAATGAAATGAGTGAAAGTGATCCCATAATTTTGTGAATGCATTTTGAAGAAAATTTGCTGAACATTCTCATATATTGAGGCGAATCGAATGGAAACGATTGTTTGGATAATAATACATTTTCATTTCCATTCGCTAAGCCAAATGGACACCATTTCAAATGGACTGTCAAGATCACGCGACACATTTTCAAATTGAAAACCAAGAGTGCGATTTCCATTGAAATCCCGTTCTCATGTTGCCATCTGTTACTTCCGCTCGTTTGGCAGTGGAAGTCATTTGGCAAACGGCAACATCAGTGCCGTTCGCATTAAATTCGAAAAGCACAACACAAAATGCATTCAAGAAATTACGTGACGGTGGCAGTGATGCAAAAATATAACATGTACGTACCTTTCTCGGTTGGAATTCGTATTTAACACAATGTTGAAAGCCTTTCCCTTTGACTTTCATTGACGTCAATACTAAACAATTTCCAACGAAATGGGCTGTATATCCAACGCCTTTGGATGTTTTGAAACTTTTAGTTGGAAACGATGAACAAAAAAATGCAGAGAAAAATGCACAGCAGAATCGCGACCATAGACAGATGAGATAAAAAAAAAACAACATTAAAAAATGCAACGCAATTCCAAATAAATTAAGTTAGAGTGAACAAAAAAAAGGTTGGAGGTGTTGAAAAACGAAAATTACATAGTTGTTGCTTTTTTGTCTTCAGGGCACTCGCAATGCATATCCCATTCGCACGAACCGTTACGGTGAACAAATGTGAGCGTCGGTTTCATTTCACTCACTGGTTCGTCATTTATTTTTCATTCACCGAAGCAAAGTAGCTACGCTATACCCACTTTGCTACAGTTGTAAAATTTAAGTGAAGAACTGAAATACAAAAACCAAGTCAGCTGAAATATACCCGCAGCGAAATTTATATACATTCGAAGCCAGAGAGCATCGATGGTCAGAGAAAATTATTCCGTGAGCCGTAAAAGTTGTTCGCTTCAGCGAATGCGCAAGAGTTTTTAATTAAAAAATCGCTGCCATGGTTTTTCGACACTCATAGACACACATTCACTTGAACAAGGAAGTGTTATTTTCCACGGAAAACAACTCTTATGCAAATGGAAATTGGTTTTTGACAAACTTTGACTCGTTTGACCTATAATAATCAAAATCACTAGTTACGAATGGCATTTGCAAGTCACAAAATTGAATTTTTCCCCTATCGTAACATAGGCTTTGTGTCGATTGGTGGAGCCGGTGCTCTCCCTCGCGCAATTTATGACAAAAAGTCCATAATCAAGTCCATAACCAAGTTGATTGGATATCTTTCTGTGGAACATTTCGCGTTATTTTTTGCCCAAACCAAAAGCTTTTTTTCTTTGCGAAGATTTACAGTTTCAATCTTACACATGGAAGTGTACAGATACACAATCAAATGCCCGGAAAACCAAAAAAAGAGACAATTTTCCTATGCAATCTGATTGTGTTTTTTGTGTTTCTCTTTCAATTGATTCTAATTTCTCACCAGTACAAATACGGCTTCTCTCGTTCGATGTTGACTGAATTGATGGGATCTAGTCGGAACCACGTTGTGAATGTAAAACCATTTTCATACGGCCATTTCGCTAGCGGTGGCAATACAATACCCTGAAAAGAAAAGAAAAGCAAATGCAAATAAACTGGACAGGAATTTTTTTACGTATTTTGTGTGCGCGAGTGATTTTTTCCCTTTATTTGAGCTTGTGATTGCATACCAATACCGATTCTTTGCTTTCGACAATCATCATGGCAAAAAAAATGGAAGTTTTGAACGAAAAGATTTTTGGATTGGATTTCAAAGCTAACATCGTTCTGAATTCAGCTAGCATGCACATTGTTGGAAAATTATTTTTGAACGAACAGTTTAAAAATGTTTGGTCTGGTGATATTGTTCGGAATACCAGAGGGAGCTTGATAATATCCATTTTTGAAGTAGACATCAATTACGACAATTGAAATTGGTTATTGTTCCATAGTTTGGTGTACGATGTGGCATATTGACAAGTTTGAGTTTCAACATTTTGATTGCTATTGGATGTACTGAAAATAACAGACAATTGTTTTTCCATCTGTCCTTTGGAATGATTTCAATCATTCGGTCAAATCGGCCAATGGGTCAATAATTGGGAAAATAATGCATTTATTCATTTAAAATGACAAGGCAATACGAACTCCATTAAATAAAAGCTTTGAGCATAGTGTGTCGCGTTTTAATGCATCAAATACAACAATACCTAATGGTAATAATATCTACCTGAATGTTGAAGTCCTAGTGTTTAATAAAATGAAATATTCGAAACAAAATCCCTCTTATTTTTAAAATACGAAGAAGAATATGTAAATAAAACGATTCAGTCATTGACAGATAACTGAGTATATATGTTGGGCACATTTTGTGGAGTTGATGAATTTAAACCTACTTTTTCGATGCTAACCATTAAAATATTTGTCACAAGCTCATGAACTCCACTAAATTTTATTGACATGGTAAATATTTATGACACCGATTTTATTCGAAAATGGTGTGAATTTTCAGAAGATTGGCACTGAATTGGTGTGGATTCTTCATTTGTTTCACTATTGGGTGTGTGCAAAAGTTTCCGGAATCCGACAACAAATGTCACCACTTGCTTATGCGTTGTAGTAGATCAATGACAGATACATCATTTGAAAGGCCTATTCAAATACTGTCAAAAACAGTCAAGAGTATTTCATTTGTTTGTGCGCATCATATTTTTTCAACGATTTAAAATTGGTCATGTTATAGTGTTTTTTGGGGGGGGGCCTCTTTTAATCATTCGATTTCAAGAAAACTGCCGCTGAAGCTCATCGAATGCTATCGGATAATAAAGAATGGGCCTTTCTCGATCAATTCAAGCATGAAAAATCATATTTTGATTGTCAGCATTCGTCAATATAGAGGGCGCTGCAATCACTCCCTCGAAATCGCGCATTTTTTAGATTTGGGGGGGTGGGTGCATTTTGAAAGATGGTATAAACTGGTCCAAAATTTAGCTCTGATCGCTACCAACAATAACTAACCGGTATAGATCAATTTCTGACAGCAGTATCGAAAAATTGGCCCATTGCCGCAAAAATAGTTGTTTTTGAGGGAATTTTTTTTCATGACTTTTTACCAATTAAGTGCAGAATTTCTAAGAAGCAATTGAATTTGAAAACTCCTTATGCCCCCTGCGTATTCTCCAAACACTGCTCTATCTGACTACCACTCGTTTCAATCGATTCAATATCACCTAAGTGGAGAACGGTTCACTTATTTTCAAAAAACCAAAAAATGGGTGTATACTTTCATAACCTCAAAAGTACCGTTATTTTTTTCGAGAGGTTTTTTGTAAATTTGCTGAAAGATTAGCAAATACAATCGCTTCTGATTGACAATAATTTCATTAGCTTATATTCTAATTTTATTATGGAAATAAATGTATCTTTTCAGACAAAAAATTCCGGAAATTTTTGCACACACCCAATAATAAAAATTTACTATAATGTACAGAGAAATTATTTTCTTTACTTAAATTAAAATGTAAATTCATGGCAATATTGAAAGCAAATCAAAAACGGTGATAAATTGTAAGAGGGATTCGTCCTGTTTTTTGCACCATATACTCAATAAAAAATAAAATCAAAAAAGTTCTATTTTCAAACTGATATTATCTCAAAGACTTACCGATCCTTTGCGCCCAGGAAAACTAAAAAACACATCCGGCCCGTTTCGATGCGGCATTTGACGTAGAACATTCAATAGTTTGGCTGAATGACGTGGCTGAAAGAGAAGGATTGCAAACATTCAAAAATATGATTTTTGAGCATAAATTTAATATTTTAATAAATATTTTTAATAAAATCATCATAGAAATGGAAATGAAATTGAAATAAACTTACCCATTTCCCATTGACAGCTTTCATTGCACCGAACAATAATTTAAGCTCTTTAACTGTTATACTATAACTTGCTAACACTCCCAACATTTCGATCAGTAAATCTGAAAATAAACCACACATAAATTTATTTTAGTGTAAAATATTTGCTAATTGATTCAAGTAATTATTGACCGTATTAAAGTCATGCATTAAAAAAAAAATACATTAATCCCTTTTGATGATGACCACAATCCTACTGCACGATCGTAGATTCAGGTCTGACCAATTCAATTATATGTCTTTTTTTTCAATGTAGCACATGTTATATTAAATTTTACGAATAAAATGAACGTTCGTTTGTTAAATGGCACGTGTCTGAGCAGCAAATCCAACTTACTTCCGAAATACAAATATTTTGGTGCAAATACACCACATCGATCTAAATGAATACCACCAAAAAAAAATCAGTTACTTTCAACAGCTTTTTGTGGTTCAATGTATGAAATAATATCCACAACAGAAATGACAGAAAAGAGATGCAGTGGTGCGATGACGGAGTGAAAAATGGGAATACAAATGTTTGAAAAAATCAAAATCCGTGGAGAATAGATATCAACCAATACTACCTAACTTATATGCTATAGCAATGTTTGACGTTTAGAAATGCTGTGGAAACTTTGTTGGGAACGTCGCCAAACATAAGTTTCAGTACGTACGTGTGAAAGTAAGTCTTTGTGTGTACGTTCGTGTGAATGCAAAGATTTTGAATCCCAAAAAGTCTATGTGCACAGTAAACACAATGATTCTAGCAATGTTGAGATTTGACACTTGATTTTGTTTTAGTACCATTTGCTCTAGAAAAAGTTCAAAAGTTCCATAATAAATACATGAAGCTTTGATTTTTCATTTAGTACATTTTGAACTTTTTCTAGAACAAATGGTACTCAAATGGATATTAGTGTCAAATTTCATATTGCGGTTCTAAAAGTTAGAACCGTCGTGTTTACTGTGTGTGCGTTGTACACGGAGATGTTGATTCGTGCCGCCATATGCAAACGTCGCATCCAACGTCGCATCATACTGGGTGGCGCTATTGATATACTTTGATCAATGGGACCATACAACCAATGTAAATACATTGATGACAGCGTATGAACTTTCTTCTAAAACTTCACGAATAAAGCATGAGAATAAGGCGTGGCGCCACTATCTTTCCCCAATATATCATTGAAGTCAATGGAATACATAAGAGTTCAAAAGCGCAGCGATAGATGGCGCCTCTATGAATCCTATACGCAGCTTACTTACTGAATATGGCCCATTTGACTTTGATTCAATCGTCAACTAAATACGTGGAGTATTTCTATGTTTTGATATCAACATTCATCATGAATCTTCACTTCACGATTTCAGAAAATCCTATAGGGAAAGCTTTGTTTTTCCTTCTCTATGTGTTATTGGCAAGTAAACTTAACCCGCCTATAATCGAGTTTGCCTCACAAAATTGATAAATCTAAATAAAAATCAGTTCTTCCGCTTTTCATTACACATGTGAGCATATATGTATATGGTACATATAGCAGACACACAAATTGATAATAAAATAATATAAATCACAATATATTATTGATGCTTCCGCCAAAAATGAAAAGTCGTTCTATCTTTCTCTTCCGTTCTGCATTTTTTCCGATTCGCATTTAGAATCAGTTTTTCTAACCCCTATGTCATTCTATCTATTGACATATTCCAGTAGACATCAGTCTCAAATGCTATCATTCTCATTTATTCGATTTTTTTTATTCCTTCATTGGAGTTGAATCAGAATGTGTATAGGGGCCTCTACGGAAAAAATATATATTATATTTATATATGTTCTATTTTCCATAATTTGACGTGAATACGTACGGCCCGTAAGGTACGGGTGGTAGCTTTCGTCACATATTTATTCCATTAGTCGTATGATATACGATTCGTATCACAATGAATGAAATACGTTAGCACCAACGTGCTGTCAAGCATACAATAGAAGAAACACGCACACACATGACAACAGGGAGAACTGTTGGTGATGTAAAAATGTGAGCGACAAGAGAGAGCATAAACGACAAAGTACAGGCCAAAATAAATGAATCGAAATGAAATTCCGAGATGTTTTTATCACATAATTTTTTTTAGATTTATATAGTTGTTGTCTCCGTCCTCCTCTTTTTCTCTCCATTTCTTCCTACTTCATAGATCATATGTAATCTATCGCGTGCGCCATAATCACGGTCACAGATTGATTGTAAACAGCAGCATAAGAAATATGCTGCCGATGTGTGTATGCCTGGTATATTTATGCTGATTTTCCAAAAATTGGAGATAGATTACGAATAAATTGATACGAGGGAAGAAAATGTGTAGGGTATTGATCGAGTTAAAATGATGGTGAGAATATCTTGTATATCATGTTCAACTGCAATTCGAGCAGTTTTAGAATATATGAGAAAGCAAATAGAAAATTCCATTTTCTTTGGCCTCCGTTGGATGCCACAGCCTGCTCAACGTATCGTTATATTTTTCACACGATGTGCCATACGCGCCTTCGGTGCCTTATGCAAATCAATTTTTATCGGAATATTTTTGTCACCGGTTACGATTTTATCACGATATAGTTACGATATACGGAATGTATCGCTTGCGCAATATGAAGCAGATCAACGGCATAACAAATGCGACATAAAATTATTGATAATATGTGTTTGCAATGTGAAACTCTCATGGAAGAGGTATCGACATACATGTGCAAGGGGGAGGAACTTGGTCGTCAAACAAAAATTATATGCACATTATGGCTATAGCCAGGTGTTTTCCCGACAATTTATCCATCATTATAATTTGATAGCATTTATTGAAAAACAATATCAGCTGTCTCAAACTGCATTTTCAAAAGAATTCCTACGTATATATGCTTCCACTTTGTGTTTTTTTTTTGTGTGTGTGAACATTTTCGACATGTAAAAAATGAAAATAATGTACGCCAATAGCGAATTTATGCATTGAAGTGTGTGATTTGAATCGAGATTTAAATTTACGCATTATACAGCAAGCGAATCCTCTGAAGATTCAAATATTGTTCAGCATAAATTCAAAATACAGACACACGCACATCCATGGAAAATGGCAAAAAATGCATTGTGCTATAAAATCATCGCATTTCGTATGTAACAAATCAATTTTACACGTTTCTGCCTTCTTTAATCTCCATGAGATTAACATACATTTAACATTTCAACCAGAAAACGTTTCACTTTGTGAATTCAACGATTCAAACATGAAATTATTTTTCAATTGGACCATACATGTATGAGATTGGAGTCATTCACGCGAATGCCAATCGAACGTGCACTCGTGCAATCTAATTAGTAAAAATACTCAATTTAGATTTGTTGCATTCATTTTGTTATATTTAATAATAAAAATGATGAAAACAAATAAATGATGTGATAAAAAATGATTTAGAATTAACACCTTAAAGACATAATTTTTATCTCTTTTATTTCTTCAAAGGGTGATGGAAAATTTTAGGATAAAAATTAAGAGGCAAAAAATACAGCTAGAGTATGTCTGTGTGTTTATATTGTATGGAACTCACTTACACGCTTCAGCGCCAAAACAACCGTTATGTTTTATCCACTCAAATTGAGAAAAAAACGTGTTTAAGTTGCAGGGCACGTCAAAAGCAACAAGTAAGGCAAGTTTATATTCATATTTTTGTGAAAATCGATTGTAAACAAATGTCTTTTTTGAGCCCCATCTACTGGCCAAATCAATGAAATTTCACAATTGAACTGCTGAGAATAATAGACTGACGATAGCAGGCTTTTCACAAAAGCGGGATAAAAATCTATTTTTCGCAAAAGAGACATTTCAAAAGGTTGCACGCAAGAGAGAAGTATGTTGTTGTTGTATTCACGGCTTTAAAATTCAAAATGCGATAAAATAAAATGTTCCGTTTGAGTGCAACCTTTTGAAATGTCTCTTTTGCGAAAAACAGATTTTTATCCCGCTTTTGTGAAAAGTCTGCTATCGTCAGTCTATTATTCTCAGCAGTTCAATTGGTGTTGCTTTTAACGTCTAGTGAAGCTTAATATTGTTCCAAAGAGCTATCAACCATGGATTTGCATTCGAAAATGTTCTCAGAACGTCTATTTCTTTTTGTATGGGATCCTACCGCATTGTATATATACGATTATATAAAATGCCCAAAAGAAAGCAATCAATTAACTCTACACTAAAAGAATGCCAAGTTTAGGTTAGTTTATTCTACACTATTTAGATGCCCGCCAAGTTAAAAATGCTCTGAAGATTCGGCGTAGCTTCGGTGTGAAATAACTTGAGTTCAATATTATGTGTAATACAAATATATGTATTTAACTTAAGTTAAATGACTCCGAGGTTACACCTTTTGTCCAGTACATTTTTAACTTGAATTTGAATTATCATTATGCAACGCCATCTATATGCTAACTTAGCACATGCTAAGTTAAAAATATACTGGACAAAGGGTATAGCTTCGGAGTAATTTAACTTAAGTTAAACCTGGCATTCTTTTAGCGTAGAGTAAATTGATTGGTTTCTCTTGGGCATTTTATTCAAAAAAGTCATTTTAATGATGCAAGTTAAATTTGTTTGCATTAAATGACCCGAAAAGAATCGATGTTTTAATCATTTAAAATGTACTGTGTGTCCATGAAGGGGTTCAACTTTAATCGGTGGAATTTGTAGCCACAAAATACCATTTTAGTGAAGGGAAAAACAATAGAAAAAATAATTTTAAAAAGCACTTCACTAATGAGTTGCTGATTTTATCAGTGACTATCAATCATTCTGATTTCGAGCTTAAGATAACTTTAAAATTGACTGATGAAAACGATACATTTTCGTTCTGCATCATTACTATTCTGTATCGATTTATTTACTAATTGGCTTGTATATCTACAATGCTTTATTTTCAAAATGGTTCAAATATATTGAATAATGTTCTAGAGCACCCGACATTAATTATGATTGAAATTATATAAAAGTTGTGATTTGAATTGTACGAATAAATAAAACATAATTTGAGTTGGGTCAAAAATTTAATTCGCATGAACTTGTTGGAAATCAAATTATAAGTTGTAATCAAAAATATCCAACGAAAAAAGTGAATGAAACTATGAAACAACCATCGGATGGAAGCTAAGACCGAAAACAACTGTGGTGACGCGAGCGCCCTCAATTCAAATAGGAAAATCAATATAATTTCGTAATTTTTTTCTGAACTAAACAGCGCGCCAATTTGAATTTTGTTGATGCTTCCACCCTATGGAAACAACCCATAAATTAACATTATACATGTGCATTACTCATTTCGATTTGCGAGGGAAACATATTAATAATTTGAGCTTTTAACATTATTCTGCCCCGGCACACTTATTTCGTATCGCGATTTCCGTCCTGCTCTCGCCATCATCAGTGAAATAAAATGAAGCACAGGTATTGCTTCCGGATAATTTAAAACGTAGGTGCAAATTTTCTCGTATTTCATACAGTTTTCAAATGAAGCAAAAATAAATTCCGTTCTGAAATATTGTGACTGTGCTTGATTGTTCACACAGTACATACACGTATCGTCAGTTACAGAAATATAAGTTATTAAAAAAAGGAGCATACGAAAAAATAAGAATCGTATGCATGGAGAGAACTATACCCTTCTCATGGTATGTTTGGCAAATGTACTCGCCAGGGAATCATTTGTAAAATTACATTCAAAACCATGTGTGCAGCATGCACGGACATGTGACGGTTCAAAACAAACAACAAAAATTATTTGATGCGAAAATGTGAAAACAGGAAAAGAGGATGCGAAAGTCTACATTAATGAGTTCACAAAAAACACACAAACGTCTATGTACATGACGGTATAAAGGGAGAGTGAAGTAACACACGTGAATAAATGAAGATAAATGTGTTTGGTGCATTCAGACGCAATGGCAAAAACTGGGTTTGTGCTGTTGTTTGAGTGCGAAAAATAAGTCACTCGAATATTTTCACCGTGCACTGTTCATTCATACGAGAGAGAGAGAGAACTGCCAATGCCAACGCCAACAAAAAGTATGATTGCGCACCTCTCATTCATTTGCAAATCATTTGCGAAAAAAATTGTGAATAGATGTGTTAGAAAATGATGTTGGAAATAATAACAGCAATGGCTGTTGTACGGAAACGAAATGTGTGAATGATAGAAAAAGGGTTATTTGGCATACAAGTGCTACACTCTCGTTGTTTTCTCTTCTATCTTTTTTGCTCTCTTTCTCTCTGACAGTTTTATAATTTTACAAAAAGGTAATTTTCGCTCCATGTTCACATTTCATGAAAAAGGTTATTGTTAATTCAAAGCAATATGCCTCTCATGAATATTATGTGCACGGGAATTTCACGGAATGGGTTTTTCCCTGCCTAGCATCAGGTGAAACTAGCTTCATAAAATAGATTTACCACATTTTCTGATGCATAAAGACTTATTCACACAGTGAAAGACTAATTTTCATAAGGACAACTATTCACAATAATAAAAATGGCATTTTAATTGCAGCCGTCATGATTTATCTTCTGCATGATTTCTCACCGACGCGGAAAACGACGTTGTTTTCGTCGACTCCATCAAACCATTTGTTGTCGTTTCAGTGCTATGAAATTATTCATTACGGTTAAAATGTGTGCACCCATGAATACACGTTAAATTTGAATATGTCATTAAAATCAATGGGAGCGTATGCATTTAGAATGCGCGAAAATTGTTGCATCTCTGAATCACAATTTTAATACAAATGAACATTTTAAACAATTAAAAAATGAACATAATGCTCTTCATTTGACAAACAAAAATTATATATAGATAAAGACTCACCAGCTACAACAGTTTCGGCACGTTGCAATCGCATTAAAACATGTTCAATTAATCCTACGTCGGTACACGCCTGCAAATTGCGAACACTTTTACGTAATATTGCTATGAATACGCTCCATATTTCCGCCTGAAAAATAAACAAAAAATATTTATATATATGTATCTTTATTGTTTTTTGCCTCAAAAAATAAGCAATTCCTCCAACAATTCAACATAAATAGCAATTTATTTTCGTTTGTAGTAAATTCAGAACGACGCAAAAAAATATAGTTATTTCAATATTTTGTCTATATTGCAGACGATTTTTTGTTTTATTCTAATAAAAGGATTTCAATTGCCGACAAAACTTCCATCAAAAAAACTTGAATCTCTATTTTGTAGTAGAATAGTTTGAAAATCACAGTATTTTCCATCGAGTTTTACATTATCCTTTTGATAAAGTTATGAATTCTTTATTTACTAATTGGTAGAGATGAATACATTTAACAATTGACGTATTTGTGAATATGGCAAGCTTATGCGTACAATGTACAAAAACATGCATAGTGATAGAACTGCATAAATTTTGATTGTAAGACAAACATTTAAATTCAACGAAAAGTAAACTTTTGTGAAAAAGAGAAAAAGTAGTTAACCCTTTATCACATTTCGGTTCCTAAAGTAACCAAATACGCCAGACGCTATAGCTATGAAACCACTGAATATTTTTACATTTTTGTTTGGAAACAAATGTAGGGAATTGAACTAGCTTTCATTTGATACTTTACAGGCTACAATTGGCTGGCTGAATGGAAAGTTTTTTCTGTTCATGTACTGCTGTAAAAAAAATGCGAAATTATAGCAGAATTCCACATTTTTCCTCCTCTTATCTTGTGGGTTTGTTCATTCTTTTCAATTGTTAAATTGGGACTCGTAGGACCAAAACACATCAATTTAACTTTCTGCATCATTAGTTTTATGAAATTTAATTTTTTCAAGCTTTTATAGTGATTTGACACTTTTGACTCTTTTCCGATTTTCTCGACAAATACGCAATTTTTCAAAAATCTAAGTATGAGGTTTTTCTCTATTTATGGTGGCACAAAATATATGTCAAAATGATTCAAAAACAAAAAATTGTGCATCAAAGGGTTAAAATTCGGTTTTATATTGCTGTGTAAATGCGAGAAACGATGCATTTATTAAAAGTGGTAATTTAACTTCGTACGATGCGATAGTTGATAAAATTATTTTCTCCATTTAAGCCACAGCTTGACTCTCAGTAAAGTACACTCATAGCTTGATGCCAAATAAAATTTGCCAGCGATTTTATTCTGATGAATTCCTTCACATACACATTCCTATTATAACACTGATTTTATGAAAAATACATATACGCTTCCAAATACTTTATGCAATCTGCTCTTCACCCAATCTGTAACACATGTCGCATGTTTGCCGTAACTTCCGTGTTAATTCCATAGTGCAGTAATGAAATTTCTGAGAGTGATGCAATCAGCAGAATATCCACAAACTCCAAAAAGATACATAAAGCGTGCATTGTGGGCATACATGCATATACGATATACACTCAAGAGTTTATGTAGTTGAATATTCTCTCTCGCTAGTGCTAACCACTAACGGAGACATTTTTTAAATATTACAGCAACAAAGTGAGACACATCTTTCAGTTCTTTTTTGCTATATAGAGACGCATAACAATAATTATAATTTGTACCACAATCTAGCTCTTTGGAGAGCAACAAATATTGTTTATTGTACATCTTCACAGGTTGTTTCTGCTGCAAAAACTTCAACACAAACGGGCAGTTTTCAGTTTAATTTCCCAATGGAATCATATTGTTCTGCGAAAATAATTTTCCATTTCGAAATGGAGCTTTTGCATTGAAACGCATTTCGTTTGATGGAACGTCAATCCCATAGCAAAAGAGTGCTCAAACAAAGGAGCGGGAGAGAGTGTCAGATGTGGAATGTGAATTGTTCATTGCATAAGATTGATCAGAAAACAAATAACTAAGTTAGGATTCTTTTTGCTCATACAGTAAAACCTCCCAATAGTGGAACCTCTGTTTAAGAGAAACCTCGAGTTAGTGGAAAAAAAATTCGGCCATTGAAGTTTTCCTTCAAAATGACCTCCAAATAAGGGAAATTTTACCTCTAGATAAGGGAAAATGGCTCTTTTTGAGCCAAATTTTTTTGACCAATTCTTTCTTGCATAAAAATGCTATAAAAACGTTTTTTTTTTTTGCATTTTCACCAGCAAAACCAAATTGTTTGCATATGATTTACACGTGTTTTCATCCTACAGATTCTCTAAAATATTGATTGGATAATTTATTCTTCTTGTTTATGTATTGTAAATGCATGAGGATTACTTGAGATTCGTGAGCGAAGTAAATCAGCTGTGACTGAATCACACTTGAAAAAATAAAATATGGAATTTGCAAACAGTAATTCGGTAAACAATACATCTTCCCTTATATTTCTATACAGGTTACTTGGCATTCGATTCTCTTGTGATTTTTTTGCCATTTACTTGTTACGTAAACAAAAATAGTACTGTTTCGATCAATATTTCAGATAAGGCGATATATGCGTGGTTTGTACTTTCAATCTGTTGGATTTCATCAAATAATTATTCCTCTAATTAATGGAAAACACATTTTTAAAGCATTATAAGCTTCTCAATAGTGGAACCTCTGTTTAAGAGAAACCTCGAGATAGTGGAAACAATTTTCGGCCGGAGCGAGTCCACTATTAGAAGGTTTTACTGTATTCAGCTTCGAAACGGTTCCTTTATGAAACATTTTCAATTCATTTCAATCAAAAGTAAATTGAACTTTACTGATTCAACTGAAATATCGACATCACGTCTCATGGATCATGCATTCAACACAATTTATGTTGACTGTACTTTTGTGCCGTAAAACTCATTTATAACCTCATCGATGATAAAGTCGTGCCCAACATCCAACAGCAAGTTAAATTCTCTCGAAGTGAGTTGAAAACTAAGTTATTGGTTTTTCGTGATGAATATGATCCAAAGTTGGTGGAAAAAAGATTAGCTACCAGTAAAAACTTACTCCCTTTAGCTGATCAGTAGCAAGAGCCAAAATCCGTAATATCAAACTCGAGGAAAGTTTTGGTCGTTAACAGACAGCCCAGATTGATATAAATCCGGGGAAAAAATATTTGCCTCAAGTCAATTTCACTTGGACTTGTACATAGAAACCAATATTCCGTGGTTAAAAAGACATACATTTCATACCAATCAAATTTGGACTTTCCGGGAAGGATTTTGGCTTTCAGAAACCTCATTGGACTCAAGTAATTTCATATTCTCAATAATAGATTGTCATTAGATTAAGTGAATGACATCTAGAAATTCCACACTAGAACTGAACTTTCCTTTCAAACGGCATAACACTACCATACAAAACAATTGACTCAAATCTATTCTAGAGGCGACTTCGTATACAATATTCATTTAAATATAACTTCGGGCAATGACTTTTATTTGTTAAAACTATGGATCGGAATGATTCTCTTGTCAAAAGCTACTCGAAACTATACCGATGCACTGGACGCATTACAAATCCCAGTGCTTTAAGCTGTGATCATTTGTTGTCGGGGGAAAAGAATGATGTGAGCGCACAACAACTTTTAGTTGAAAGACATAACCAGAACAACATAAATTTTACCATGCCAAATGGTCTAATTTCATATTGTTCTTTCGTTTTATTTTCCATAACAGGAACTGTTCATTTTATCAGCACGCAATTCATATTAAAAATGAGACGAAGAGGAAATGCGGTCAGAACGTTTTCTTCACCACATATTACTAGTAAACATTGAACAAAAAATGTGAACATTGATGATGATGCTTCAACCTACGTGCGCAATGCTCAGTATAAGAAAAGGTCGCAATTTACGAGCTATTTGCGTAAATCTCAGGAAATATTTCAGAACCACCTATTTATAAAATAAGATTTGTGAATAAACTTTTCGTTTTTCACCTACTGTCGAACGTTTTTTTTTTGTTACTCGATGTGTAATCCCGCTCATAAAGAACTCGAATTTCAAATGTCTTCCAACAACCAACAATGACACTAAGATGTACAATTTTTGGGTCATCTGTTATCACATTAACGCAGTCACACCACACGCTCTATATTGACAATGTATTTGTTTTAAACCTTCATTTTGATACGCCACTAACATAATTTACACTCAAGTATCTACTTTGTGTACTAAAACGTCATTTAAGGTGCTGCCACCTTGCGTATCACTCACGGAAACTTAGTAATCTCAGATTGAACAAAACGACGAGCATGTGGTGTGACTGAATTAACGATTGGCAGTTGGTGCGTTTCTCCCTCCGAATTTATCTTCATCAGAATCGAATTTTTCACACGGTAGATAACATGGAGGGTACAAAGCAGGTGCTCACCAATTTACATTAAGAAGAGAAATAAGTCGTGAAATAACAAATAAAAATTCTACCTCCCACATAATACCGCCCAACACCAGATTTAATATCCGGAAGACGAAATAAGTTCTCACTCTGTGTCTTTTATTTTGTTTTTATTACTGAACAAATAAAATCAATTTCATCAACAAACCAAGCGAAGTTGAACTGGGCGGGAATACATCACATTTTGTTCTCTTCGACATCATTTGACGTGGTATGTATGCTCTTCTATTTTCTCTTACTAGATCTCCTTTTCTCCTTCATCGCTTTTTTATTATGAAATAACTTCACTTTTATTGTTAGTTGTTTCATCCCAAAAGCTTAGTTTATTTTCAAAATACAGAAGTGTTGACATTATTGTTGGTGCATCGTACTGAATTATCTGAAAAAGTTTAAATGAGCAAACTTTTCGGATAAACTTAAATATTTTTCGGAGCGCATTGTAAACTCCGAATTGTTGTGCTGAACGAGCATCGAATACGCAACATTTCCATCATGAATTGCAATTGCTTGTTTTAATATTCTTGCTATTTTGTATTGTGGACCTGTGTGATGTTTTTACAAAAATTTCAATATGATTGATCCAACCCCGTAGACTTATTTCTGAAGAAGAAAAAAGTGATCCGGTTTTGTCTGTCGTTCCATTTTACATAAAT